AGTTACGATAATACACAAAGTTTCGATTATTAGATTCTTAACTGGCAATCATATTTCAATCCATTACAAATCACGGCCATCCGATAATCTAGAGAGTTGAACACGAGCTTGTCATGTGAATAAATGTCTAATAATTTATATAACATTTGAGGCCAAAAGAAAGACATTCAATAGGCAGATTTAGCTCTTGCATACTGTATCTTTAACCTCTTGGAATTTAACAATGCTAACTGGCACAAACTAGGTCATTTGAGGACTATCATAGTTGAAGAAATGTATTTCAATAATTCACTTGTGTTTAGGGGCCTTTAGCAGTGGTAAGTTGGAGAGGTGACCTTACTTCTTGTGACGTACAAGCGGGGAATCTAAACTACACCACTTGACTCAGTGACAGACCTTATGATCTAACGTGAAGATGATACCCTCAACCTTACCCCACGCTATAGAATCTGTGGTTCCCAGAGGGTTTCGTTAAGTTGTGATCATGAAGAGCTGATCAGTCACAGACAAACTTCCCATAAGAAGGGATGAGTCAGTCAAGTGAACGGACATAGCCCCACAAGAAGGGACGAGCCAGTCAAGTGAGCGAGCATAGAGCATAGCCACACAAGAAGGTACGAGCCAGTCAAGTGAACGGACATAGCCCCACAAGAAGGTACGAGCCAGTCAAATGAACGGGCATAGCCCCCACCCCCCACAAGAAGGTACGAGCCAGGCAAGTGATCAGACGTACATAGCCCGGCAAAAAGGGACGAGTCAGTCAAGTCAACGGACACACCCCCACAAGTGAAACATTGTGATTTAGAGACAGACCCAGATCATCCTCATAAAAAAAAAGATTTTAAATGAAGTAAACTTACCAAGGCGTTGAATTTAAGTTAACCGACCGAAACATTTTTCAGATTTTTACAATGAATCTTCAGACACTTGTTTAGTTCTAGTGTTGTTTCAATTGACCACACAACCTTGCTATATTAAAATGTCGGATTGTAGTGATTGAATTGACTCAAGTACGCTTTATATAGCTGCACTATTATGATTCCTGACAATTAGTGTTTTCGTGTTCATAAATATAGAACACAGAACTTTAAAGGGCCAATCCCGATAATATTTTGGAGAATAAAACTGATTAATTTTGTGTTAAAACCCCTTAAAATCCCGTGCCGAGCAACTAATTCAATATTTGTGATATGTTTTCAAACAACTTAGATCCGTCAGTCTTCATCTGGAAATGGAGACCGGTGTTCCAAGCTGTATTATGCGGTGTCTGGATAAAACCAGACTTTTATTTTATAAAAACAATGTGTAGGTGAAATTTACCTTTCGTTATCCAGTATTCACTGTATAGACCTCTAAATTAACGGCGATAGATTATCAGGACACCTAACGAAAAAATTGACCAGAAATCTTAATAGGGTTACGTGTCCGGATAAGCATTTTCGACGTTCACGTCCAAACAACTCAATATTTTGAGCAGAAATTTTGCGACAAGGTAAATACACCATTCCTCTATATTTTAGCGATTAAATTTCATACGAACTCGGACTTTTATTTTTGAGACTCTGTTCAAATCAAATCGGGATAGTCCCTTTAAGCAGACAGTATATCGAGGTATGGCGATACTCTAGGGAAACGGTGTCGTGTTGTGGTGCATTAATTGTTTGAAGTCCGATAATGACTGAAACAAAGCAGCTACAAAAAGGTGTTTGATTCCATTAATCAGTGTGTGTAAGTCAACCGGGGATAGAACCTCATGATTTCCAGATCACATCGTCACATTGTTGTCAATGTGTGCATGTCAACAAGGGTCAATTTACAAACGAATTTGTCTAAAAGATGGCAGACAATTCGGCTCAAATTTGTACATAAAAATAGGGAAGATTCTATTATGAGATGGGTTGTACACTTTTGGAGTTAAACATGACAAGGGAGATACTCGATTGAAAGTTATGGAATTAAATTCTCTCAATTCTAAAAATAGTGGCGATCGAGTGAAAAGAATTTCGGAGTACAACGCATGTGCCGACTGCATAAAAAATATCTCAACCAATCATGACAGCTGATACATATTTGTTACGGCACTTAAAATATATACGTCACGACACTACTCACACCACATCCTCGGTTACCCAGTGTACTCATTCCGTTCTACTCCACTATACCCTGGGTTAATCTATGGGGGAGACACGTTTTCAAGTTATCCGCCCTTGATGATCGTGCTATTTTTATCGACCAATCCCATAAATTGTTATTTGAAAAGGAAGTTGGCAAAGGAAAGTAACTCTCATCGGACAATGTTAGGAGTTGGCCTATTCTAAATGCGTAATTATTAACAACCCATTATATATTATGTTAATGAAGACCGGATGTTCATATATTAATGTAGGGTCATTAGTTTTATTTAGAATCGTTCGTTCGTTTCCGGGATTTTATGTCCACGTGATATCGTAGTCAAGTTATTGTGAATCAAATTGCCAAGTATAAGTTCAATAATATTAAACATAACAGAATGACATATTTCAGACAAAGAACGAATAGTAATAATAATAAAAAACAGTCAAACATATAGATATTGTACATATTTGAAATCAACAACACATACTACAGATTTTGATAATACAATTAAATATAAATAAATTATAAATATATACATTATTTACATAAACCATTCAGTAAATGGACATAAATATGGTTATCTACCCTTATAAAAACGAAGGCGAAACGATTGGTTTGTAAACTGTTTTCTGATTGGTTCGTAGACTGTAGCTACATTCTAGGACAGGGCAGATAATTTGAAATCCATTCTTTGTTATTTCAGCCCTGTGGTTTCATTCACGTAAACAGAAATAACCAGGACTGTGACAGAGGTTACCATCAATCAGGTTAACCAGGGCAGTGACCATCAATAAGGTTAAACAGGGCAGTGACGGGTTGTCATCAATGAGAGAGAGACAAATGGGGTCTAACGTTCACTCGACACAAACTAGTTCATTTCGGGACTAACATATGGTTTAATTTTATTCCAATAATTCGCTTGCGCGTAGGGGTCTTAAGCAGTGAGAGGAAACCGGAGGATGCGAAGAAAACCCACGAGGATGGACAGACGACCCTACTCCTTGTCATGTACAACCGGGAATTCGAAACCAGGCCAGTTGACTCAATGATAGGCCTTATGATACAGCACACACGTGCTAACCATTCGACCATCCAACCCCCTTGTCATCAATGAGATTAAACCATGAAGTGAAAGAGTTTAGGTCAATCAGGGCAGTGACAGAGGTTACCATCCATAAGGTTAATCAGGGCAGTGGCAGAGGTTGCCATCAATAAGGTTAATCAGGGCAGTAACAGAGGTTACCATCAATAAGGTTAATCAGGGCAGTAATAGAGGTTACCATCAATAAGGTTAATCAGGGCAGTGGCAGCCATCAATAAGGTTAATCAGGGCAGTAACAGAGGTTACCATCAATAAGGTTAATCAGGGCAGTAATAGAGGTTACCATCAATAAGGTTAATCAGGGCAGTGGCAGAGGTTGCCATCAATAAGGTTAATCAGGGCAGTAACAGAGGTTACCATCAATAAGGTTAATCAGGGCAGTAATAAAGGTTACCATCAATAAGGTTAATCAGGGCAGTGACAGAGGTTACCATCAATAAGGTTAATCAGGGCAGTAAAAGAGGTTACCATCAATCAGGGCAGTGACAGAGGTTACCATCAATAAGGTTAATCAGGGCAGTAACAGAGGTTACCATCAATAAGGTTAATCAGGGCAGTAATAGAGGTTACCATCAATAAGGTTAATCAGGGCAGTGGCAGAGGTTGCCATCAATAAGGTTAATCAGGGCAGTAACAGAGGTTACCATCAATAAGGTTAATCAGGGCAGTAATAAAGGTTACCATCAATAAGGTTAATCAGGGCAGTGACAGAGGTTACCATCAATAAGGTTAATCAGGGCAGTAAAAGAGGTTACCATCAATCAGGGCAGTGACAGAGGTTACCATCAATAAGGTTAATCAGGGCAGTAACAGAGGTTACCATCAATAAGGTTAATCAGGGCAGTAACAGAGGTTATTATCAATCAGGGCAGTGACAGAGGTTACCATCAATAAGGTTAATCAGGGCAGTGACAGAGGTTACCATCAATAAGGTTAATCCGGGCAGTGACAGAGGTTAACAACAATAAGGTTAATCAGGGCAGTGACATAGGTTACCATCAATAAGGTTAATCAGGGCAGTAACAAAGGTTGCCATCAATAAGGTTTATCAGGGCAGTAACAGGGGTTATCATCAATAAGGTTAACCAGGGCAGTGACAGAGGTTACCAGTGCAATGACATCAGGCCTGTAGACACTGGAGGGAGGAGGGGCTGGGGTCAGTTGCAATGGGTCCAATTTCAAATATTGGCGGGCTTTCAACCCCAGCTACCATTCTCAAGATTCTATATGAGCAATATCCGATTCCGAAATCTGTGACCTCTCCCTCTCCCACCCCACCCACTGAATCTCAATCTATCTTTTCTGTCTATAGCAGTGTTGCTATTTCAAATTTTTTCATGTTGGACATTTTTACCGAAAATAAGGGGGCATAACTCTACAGCTCTAACTGAGGTAGAGCTAAATGTCCCCACTGTTCACTTTTACTCTCTAATTAGAAATGAAATGAAATGAAATGGGGTTTAACGTCCTACTGTTTTGCTCCGAACTGGGCTAATGAAGACGTGCATACGCAATACAGTGTGCTATGAGGGAAATTTTGCCCGGACAACAGAACTACGGCATACTCTTATATCGAATTCCAACTGCCAATGTGTACACAGGACCTTGGTTTTTCACACCATCCAAAGGACTTGACAGCTGTCCTTGTCAGGCCCTCCATCCCGCATCACTGACACCGGGGAACTGCGTTGGAAAATCTGGATGTACTTGCTGGGATCGAACACCCAACCTCCAGCGAGCCACCGTGATCCCCTCGTCTCTAATTATTACAAAAAAGTCTCCGTTTTGATATCTAGTATTGTATTAAAATATACAGGTTTAAATATACAAGTATCACAGCTATAATAAATAATGTAATATACAATAATTTCACATTTAAATTCATTAAATCATTTTGATATTTTCTAACTAAAAACTTGAGTATGATTCAGTAACTGTTGGTTTGTTTACATCAACTGTGGTGTAGAACGGTAGGTGGAAGGAGTCTACAAATAACAAGAAAAAAAGTAATACTTAAAGGAGCATTATGGAAGATTAGATAAAGAGCTGGCAGTTCTCACTATAATAGTTACTGGCCTCTGAGGGGATTAAGAGTGTTTTCAATAATTGGCAAAGTCGTTTTACGCGAGGTCTCTTTTTGCGACTTTGAATGATGATAGCTGTAAACTTACCGTAAAGTGGATATAGTAAACCATTGGCTATATACTACCGAAAAGTAATGTCGTCCATCTTATGTGCCATTTAAGATACATTATGGAAGATTAGATAAAGATCTGACAGTTTTCGCTATAATAGTTACAAACTAGATAATGTAAAGGAAATATGCTGAAAATTTCAGTTAAATTGATCCACTCTGAACCGAGATATTAGCCTTTGAATTTTAGGCTTAGCCTTGATCATCATTACTAATGTCGATACGATAAAAAAAAACATAGTCTTGATTATCTATTTTTGGATTAAATCATCAATGAGCGTTGAGCAGCAAATCAGATTCAAATCCAGAGATGGCATCGAGAGTAGATGAAGGTCTTTTCATGTTAATTAATGTCTAATTAATAGTTTATATAATATTTATGATCTAAAGAAAGACCTGCAACATGCAGATTTAGCTCTTGCATAATGTATGTTTAAACAATGTTTTCGATATATTACTTGACTAATAACTGAATAAATCAGCCTTCATTCTAGATTTAGATACTTTAACATATGGAGGCATGAAATAATAATACAAAATTTCTTTAAATTATTTTTAGTGGTTAGTTCAAATACAAATTCATGCAAAAACAATTTAAAACAAAACAAAAACAAATTTAAAACAAAACCATAACAACATGCAAATTGTTTTTCTGTGATGTAGAACATGTAGTAAATATTGAGAGAGAGAGAGAGAGAGAGAGAGTGAGAGAGAGAGAGACAGAGAGAGTTTAACATCCACTCAATACAAACCAGGTCATTTCCGGACTAACATATGGTTCAATTTATATAAATAATTCGCTTGCATGTAGGAGTTTTAGCAGTGGGGTAAACACAAGGACCCAGAGAAAATGATGTTGGCAGACAACCCTACTCCTTGCCACATACAAATCGGGAATCGAAACCACGCAACATTACTCCATGACTGGCCTGGAAATGTTTATTCCAACCACAAGTCAACAACAGTCCATCTATAAAATGTGCTTGAAATTGGTGGGGGGGGTGTCGTTGGCTGAATGGTTAGCTCGTGTCATGCGCGCTGTACCATAAGGCCTATCATTGAGTCAACTGGTGTGGTTTCGATTCCACGGTTGTACAAGGAGTAGGGTCGCCTGTCCAAGCTCATGGGCTCATGGGTTTTTTCCGGGTCCTCCGGTTTCCTCCCACTGTTTCAGACCCCTACGCGCAAGCGAATTATCGAAATAAAATTGAAAAAAAAATGTAAGTCCCGAAATGACCTAGTTTGTGTCAAGTGGACGTTAAACCCCATTTCTCTCTCTCTCTCGCTTGAGATTGTTTGGAAAAAAAAATTCAAAACAAAATTTACTTTGAAGTTTTGAAATTTGAAACAAAATAATGTTCATGGGACAGGAGTGGCGAATTAGTTATCAAGACTGAAGATTAAATTGGTTTTGGCCTAATGTGTAGTATTTTACAATGATCGTGATGTACACTAGTAGTATTTTACAATGAAATTTAAGGTGCACCCTGACACTACATCCACCCATCCCCTACCGCCCTCCTATCACTGTTTCAGACCCCTACGCGCAAGCGAATTATCGAAATAAAATGGAAAAAAAAATGTTAGTCCCGAAATGACCTAGTTTGTGTCAAGTGGACGTTAAACCCCATTTCTCTCTCTCTCGCTTGAGATTGTTTGGAAAAAAAAATTCAAAACAAAATTTACTTTGAAGTTTTGAAATTTGAAACAAAATAGTGTTCATGGGACAGGAGTGGCGAATTATTTATCAAGACTGAAGATTAAATTGGTTTTGGCCTAATGTGTAGTATTTTACAATGATCGTGATGTACACTAGTAGTATTTTACAATGAAATTTAAGGTGCACCCTGACACTACATCCACCCATCCCCTACTGCCCTCCTATCACTGTTTCAGACCCCTACGCGCAAGCGAATTATCGAAATAAAATTGAAAAAAAAAATGTTAGTCCCGAAATGACCTAGTTTGTGTCAAGTGGACGTTAAACCCCATTTCTCTCTCTCTCGCTTGAGATTGTTTGGAAAAAAAAAAATTCAAAACAAAATTTACTTTGAAGTTTTGAAATTTGAAACAAAATAATGTTCATGGGACAGGAGTGGCGTATTATTTATCAAGACTGAAGATTAAATTGGTTTTGGCCTAATGTGTAGTATTTTACAATGATCGTGATGTACACTAGTAGTATTTTACAATGAAATTTAAGGTGCACCCTGACATTACATCCACCCATCCCCTACTGCCCTCCTATCACTGTTTCAGACCCCTACGCGCAAGCGAATTATCGAAATAAAATGGAAAAAAAAATGTTAGTCCCGAAATGACCTAGTTTGTGTCAAGTGGACGTTAAACCCCATTTCTCTCTCTCTCGCTTGAGATTGTTTGGAAAAAAAAAAATTCAAAACAAAATTTACTTTGAAGTTTTGAAATTTGAAACAAAATAATGTTCATGGGACAGGAGTGGCGTATTATTTATCAAGACTGAAGATTAAATTGGTTTTGGCCTAATGTGTAGTATTTTACAATGATCGTGATGTACACTAGTAGTATTTTACAATGAAATTTAAGGTGCACCCTGACACTACATCCACCCATCCCCTACTGCCCTCCTATCACTGTTTCAGACCCCTACGCGCAAGCGAATTATCGAAATAAAATGGAAAAAAAAATGTTAGTCCCGAAATGACCTAGTTTGTGTCAAGTGGACGTTAAACCCCATTTCTCTCTCTCTCGCTTGAGATTGTTTGGAAAAAAAAAAATTCAAAACAAAATTTACTTTGAAGTTTTGAAATTTGAAACAAAATAATGTTCATGGGACAGGAGTGGCGAATTATTTATCAAGACTGAAGATTAAATTGGTTTTGGCCTAATGTGTAGTATTTTACAATGATCGTGATGTACACTAGTAGTATTTTACAATGAAATTTAAGGTGCACCCTGACACTACATCCACCCATCCCCTACTGCCCTCCTATCACTGTTTCAGACCCCTACGCGCAAGCGAATTATCGAAATAAAATGGAAAAAAAAATGTTAGTCCCGAAATGACCTAGTTTGTGTCAAGTGGACGTTAAACCCCATTTCTCTCTCTCTCGCTTGAGATTGTTTGGAAAAAAAAAAATTCAAAACAAAATTTACTTTGAAGTTTTGAAATTTGAAACAAAATAATGTTCATGGGACAGGAGTGGCGTATTATTTATCAAGACTGAAGATTAAATTGGTTTTGGCCTAATGTGTAGTATTTTACAATGATCGTGATGTACACTAGTAGTATTTTACAATGAAATTTAAGGTGCACCCTGACACTACATCCACCCATCCCCTACTGCCCTCCTATCACTGTTTCAGACCCCTACGCGCAAGCGAATTATCGAAATAAAATGGAAAAAAAAATGTTAGTCCCGAAATGACCTAGTTTGTGTCAAGTGGACGTTAAACCCCATTTCTCTCTCTCTCGCTTGAGATTGTTTGGAAAAAAAAAAATTCAAAACAAAATTTACTTTGAAGTTTTGAAATTTGAAACAAAATAATGTTCATGGGACAGGAGTGGCGAATTATTTATCAAGACTGAAGATTAAATTGGTTTTGGCCTAATGTGTAGTATTTTACAATGATCGTGATGTACACTAGTAGTATTTTACAATGAAATTTAAGGTGCACCCTGACACTACATCCACCCATCCCCTACCGCCCTCCTATCAATTAATTGTTAACCTAGTGGGGATTAATGTCCATATCTAAACTACAACTTAGTCGTGTTGTTTTAGCAGAATTTTCTGTATTTAATGTTTAGTTTCAAACCCTTGTTAGAAAATTGTTGAAATTTGTTGAGAATCATAGAAAACTATTGGGTTTCTAATATTGTGTAGTTTAAAGGGTCTGTCTAGATTAGATAATGGGTGTTGGGTTTATAACTTAACCTCTCCCCCAAATTCTTAAACCTAACCCTTGATGTGTATATCTAATCTACACCCACCCAGATCCTATCCCTTGATGTACATATCTAATCTGCACCGACCCATACTCGACAAACAATTTAAATAGTTGTCAACAGGTAGGTCATTTATGGTGTACATTCTACTCTTCACCCACCCACCCGGACCTCCCACGTCAACCTAGTAGACCTAATTGCAAACAGTCAGCAAACATTTTTTATTCACTTCTTTTATCCTTCTCTAACCACATAGGCCAATTACAACAACATGGTGATATTGAGTACACCATAACAAACAACTGTTAAAAATACAAACACATTCAAACAAATAGTTTAATTCATTGTGCATGTATGACCTGGTCTTTCTCAGCTATTCTTCACAGAATAATACCTTGGTGATATGTATGAATCAGCTTCCACTCAGTTTGAGTGGGTGAGTGTAGCTCAGTTTGTGGGGGGTGGATGTTGCTGAGTTTGACAGGGGTGGATGTTGCTCAGTTTGTGGGGGGGGGATGTTGCTCAGTTTGAGGGGGGTGGATGTTGCTCAGTTTGAGGGGGGTGGATGTTGCTCAGTTTGTGGGGGGTGGATGTTGCTCAGTTTGTGGGGGGTGGATGTTGCTCAGTTTGAGGGGGGTGGATGTTGCTCAGTTTGTGGGTAGGGGGTGGATGTTGCTCAGTTTGTGGATAGGTTGTGGAGGGTGGATGTAGCTCAATTTGGGGGTGGGTGGATGTAGCTCAGTTTCCTGCCTAAAAGAGAGAGAAATGGGGTTTAATGTCATCTCCGACACAAACTATGTCATTTTGGGACTAACATATGGTTCAATTTTATTTCAATAATTTGATTGCACATAGGGGTGGGAGTAACCCGAGGACACAGAGAAAACCCACGAGGTTGGACAGGTGACCCTACTCCTTGTCATGTACAAGCGGGGAATGACAGACCTTATGATCAAACATTCCTGCGTTAAACATTCGCCCCACCCCCCCAAATTTCAGTAGGATTCCTCTGTATACCCTAATGAACACTCCATAAAGAACTCTGGTCTATACTGCGTTCATAAGCCCTTGTAAGTTTTAACGTTAGCAGGAATATAAATGAACAATTTGTTTTCGAAAACATTCTGAATTTTCGATAGGATTCTTCTGAGTATATAGTGACCCGACCTCTGACCTGTAGAACGGTTAAAAAATTTGTGAATGACAACAGATGCAGATGATGATAATATAGGTCCATGTGTGAGCGTACGATAACAACATAGTGCGCTAATTGTGCGAACAAAATGTGCTTTCACCATCAAAATAAAACATGAAACTGTGCTTTCAGTATTAAAGAAATGGGTTTAAAGTCTCAAAATTTCATTTCTTTGCATTCTGATTAAAACACAAATCCTATTTCGCTTTGTTTTTTATGGTTCAAAATTTCGTTTTGTCTTTACTACACTAGGATCTAGAAGAGTTGTTATATTAATGGCGTTTTGGTTGAAGTGAGGGATAAGCCAATGAAACGTCTGTTATGGCGACTTCTTGGCGTGCCATGCAAGGAACTGTGGGTAAACCACTAGAAACGTCAACGCTAATTGATTAGTCAATGTCTGACGTCATAGAGTCAAAAGCCACTCGTACGACCCCTGACACGACCTTCGAGTACAACATGTCAGATCTTCATGTAGTGTAGGCCTTCGAATGTATAAAAAAAACAAAACAAAATTTAGATCTGTATTTTAATGAGATTGATTTCATTGTGGCCCATGATGAAATTCGAACATGAGCTATTCTAGTTTGGAGGCCAGAATCAGAAGATCTGTTAATGTGCATTTTAATGGCAAAAGGTGGATTTGTTCATTTACAAAACCAGTGTTTGAATCATTAATCAATTGTGATGGTGTTTACAACAACATCAATTTCAACATAAATATACCTCCTATTAATTTTCACTCTCCTCTGGCTGGTCGAAATATGACTAAACAAAACATACATAAAAACAGTAAATAAACCAACAAAATAAATAAAAAATGTTATAACTGTGCCACATTCAAGACTTGGATAAAAAAAAAATTGTTTTGTACAGGTGAAATTAAAGGCTTTATATCAGTAGATGTCATAATTTAGTGTAAATTACCATGTTGTGTCTTTGTCAATTACCAAATTGTGACAGGTGTAAATTGCCATATTGTGTCTATGTAGATTACCATGTTGTGTCTATGTTAATTACCCTGTTGTATCTGTGTAAATTACCACGTTGTGTCTGTGTAAATTACCACGTTGTGTCTGTGTAAATTACCATGTTGTATCTGTGTAAATTACCATGTTGTGTCTGTGTAAATTACCATGTTGTGACAGGTGTAAATTACCATGTTGTGTCTGTGTAAATTACCATGTTGTGTCTGTGTAAATTACCATATTGTGTCTGTGTAAATTACCATGTTGTGTCTGCGTAAATTACCATATTGTGTCTGCGTAAATTACCATATTGTGGCTGCGTAAATTACCATGTTTGTCTTACTTTTTTTTTTGTGTATACATTTTAAGAGATCTTTTAGGAGATTGTATGAGCTGAAGAGAAACTTTTTTAAACATGCAATATATACATACACCTGAATAGCCAATCTGACTAAAACACAGATCCTATTTCGTTTTGTTTTTTATAGTTCAAAATTTCGTTTTACTTGTCTTTACTACACTAGGATCTGGAAGATGTGAGGGATTAGCCGCTTGTATGACCCCTGACGCAACCTCCCACTATAACTGGTCATATAGTAGAGGCCATCGAGAGTATAAAAAACAACGAAACGAAATATAGATCTGTATTTCAATCAGATTGCTGAATACCATATATAGAGAGAAATAAAAAGCTGAGGGTTAATAAATAGAAGTATATTATACATATATGGTAATAGTAGAAGGGGAAATCCCACACCAAAAACAGCTGTATATTATATATGGTAATAGTAGAAGGGGAAATCCCACACCCAAAACAGCTGTATATTATACATATATGGTAATAGTAGAAGGGGAAATCCCACACCAAAAACAGCTGTATATTATATATGGTAATAGTAGAAGGGGAAATCCCACACCAAAAACAGCTGTATATTATATATGGTAATAGTAGAAGGGGAAATCCCACACCAAAAATAGCTGTATATTATATATGGTCATAGAAGAAGGGGAAATCCCACACCAAAAATAGCTGTATATTGTATATCAGTGGTGCGCAAACTACGGCCCGCGGGCCAAATCCTACACCAAAAATAGCTGTATTTTGTATATGTATAGACATCCCAAACCACAAATAGCACAATAATTTTGATATCAGTGACAGTAATGCTAGGTTCCCACTATCACGATTCGCACTACGATTGAAATCATGGTTTTAATCGTAGAGTTATCGTGGTGATCCTATCAGGTCTTATCATATATTGAGGTCAGTCGTAGCAATCGTGTTGATCGTATCGAAATGTATCCGAACATATCTGTAAGTAACGAGAGAGAGAGAGAGAAATGGGGTTTAACGTCGAATTAACATAAACTAGGTCATTTCGGGACTAACACATGGTTCAATTTTATTTCAATAATTCACTTGCGCGTAGGAGTCTTTAGCTGTGGGAGGAAACCGGAGGACTCGGAGAAAAAAAGCACGTACAACTGAGGAATCAAAACACGCCAGTTGACTCAATAACAGACCTTATGACACAGCGTGCACGTGCTAACCGTTCGGCCATCCAACCCCCATAAAATTAATAACAAATTGTATTTCAACACAAGGTACAAATTTATGGATACACAATTACCCCTAACTATTCGGCCACGCAACCCCGCATCGTGGACTCAATACTAACAATCCTATCAAAATGCATTGCACGACAGTGGGAACCTCGCATTAGATCAATACAGAGAACGGAAAAGAGAAAAGAGCAACGAAACCACCAGAAACAACAGTGTAAAAGAAAGCAATATAATACTAAATATAGACATGACTGTTCTCACCTATACCTGTAATGATATAAGTATATATATATATATATATATTTAATCAAGGTAAGCTTCTACGGGTATTTTATTTATAACAAGCCAACAGTGAGGCTGATGTCCCCCGCCGAAATCCCAAAATAAATAGATGGCAAATATTGATTAATTGCACATTTATCTTTTTCAAAAGTATTGAACAATCAAACTGATTATCTATGCTTAGTCTCAGCATAAAATGTTCACGATCAAACTCAGTCAAGGTTTTGTAGTACCTGGTAGTGAAACTATACACTAAGTTTCATCACTTTTATATGACTATCTGTTTGTCACGGATCCACTTATATCCCTTTGTGAATTTGACTTTGTGGTTATCTGATGTAAACGACCGAATGTACTACTGTAACCTGGGGTATAATTTAATCTTGTGTATCTAGCACTAATTTCTTTCGCATTCGTTTAATATCAAATCTTTGTTTAAAAATTCATAAAAATCATTTAAAATCACCCCAATTTATCTGATTTGTACATCTGATTTGTACATCTGATTTGTACATCTGATTTGTACTGTACATCTGATTTGTACATCTGATTTGTACAAAAGAGTCTACCGGTAATACAGATATTTCCCCAAAATTTTTTTGATCCGACCAGTAAATTCTTTGATGGCACTGAGCTGAAGGAATGACATGAATTTTAAACACTGCTTGATCGATTCCTCTACCCTGGGAACTAAGCTTTGTCTATCATCAAAATAAACGAAGAATATCATCAACTTACATAAGCATGACATGTACGTTTTTTAGCGGTTTCTTGACATTGTAGAATAATATCTAATTCCTGCTGCATCATATTCCAGCGTTTCTGCAGTCTTTCTTTTCTCTCTGGTTGGACCGCAATTCTGGAATTTAGCATGAACATTAAAGGCTCAATACCACTCTTGTTGTAACTGAATAATATGTCCCAATCTTTATTCTAGTCAACAAATTGTACTATTTTACAATGTTCCAATTAATTGATGATACAAATTTCATCTTTTAACACACCTAATTTAAAAAATTGGAAAAATTCAACTAAATGATTTGAAAAGCCTAATGTAAACCTTTTCAAATGTGACTTGGATTTAAAAATATTTTCGAACCCTCTGGACAAGTAAAATAGGATTTAATGGATAATTTACACAACAGGTAGGAAACATAAACATCTAATACTTAGAATAAGGCTATTATATATTTTCTGGAGCTGTCAAGCCAGCAAGAGTGTTATTGTCCCTTTAAGTGCGGGAGAACGGCATCAGATAATGAGGATGCTCGATTCACAGTCTAGAACGTCCCAAATAGACAGAATTGCAATCGAGTAACGCGGAATTCAGTTCTGTCCGTCCCGACAACGGAGGTGGTGTGACTAAAATCGTGAAGTAATTAAAAGGTTTCGGCTGCATGGTTGGTTGAGATATTTACTTATTCAGTTGACACATGCCTTGTAGCTTGAATTCCACCTTTTCACTCGATTGTCACTATTTTTGGGATTGAAGGAATTCAATTCCGGAACGTTCAATCGAGTTCCCCCATAAACAAATAGAAATGAAATGAAATGAAATGGAGTTTAACGTCCTACTGTTCTGCTCCTAACCTGGGCTAATGAAGACGGGCATACGCCATACAGTGTGCTATGAGGGAAATTTTGCCCGGACAGCGGCACTACGGCCTACTCTTATATCGAATTCCAACTGCCAAGGGATCTTTTACGTGCACGCCAATGTGTACACGGGACCTCGGTTTTTCGTCCCATCCGAAGGACTAGACAGCTTTCCTTGTCAGCCCCTCCGTCCTGCATCACTGACAAGGGAGAACCACGCCGGAAAATCTGGATGAACTTTCTCGGCCAATGCAGGGATCGAACACCCGACCTCCAGGCTAGCGAGCTAGCGTCTTACCCACTTAGCCACGTGATCCCCAGACTAATAGAAACCAGCCAACAAGATATATAACATAAATATTGCAACAAGCAATAAATACTATCAGAGATCAATAGCAAATCTGATTAAAATACAGATCTATATTTCATTTCATTTCTTTATACCTCGATGGCCTCGACTACATGAATATCTGATCAGCTTTTGACCCTATGATCTATATTTTAATCAGATTGGTTCGTCGGGTGATAATAACATTTTTAAAAATTGTAATTTTTTGTGGGAAAATAGAAATATGAACAATAATATGCCTACCTGTGTTTAAGTAGAGCGTTAACACGTTGTTCAACAGTAGAATGTACTGGTTTAATATCGTTATTACGCGGTCGTTTCCAATATCCATCTAACGACGGGAACGAACGTAGTTGATAAACAAACAAAGATGACTCATCTATAATAGCGCCTTCTTCATCTTTACTACTACTAGAACCTGTAATATTAAACAAAATCTTTAGTACAACAACAACAATCTGTAATATTAAACAACATCTTTATTACTGTACAACAACCGGTAATATTAAACAACTGTACTACTACTAGAACAACCGGTAATATTGAACAACATCTTTACAAATACTAGAACCTGCAATATTAAACAACATCTTTACTAATACTACAACAACCTGTAATATTAAACAACATCTTTACTACTACTGAAACAATCTGTTATATTAAACAACATCTTTATTACAAGAACAACCTGTAATATTAAACAACAACTGTACTACTACTGGAACAACCTGTAATATTACACAACATCTTCTAGAACAACCTGTAATATTAAATAACATCTCTACTACCGGAACAACCAGTAATATTAAACAACATCTTTACTAATACTAGAACCTGTAATATAACAACATCTTTACTACTACAACAACTTGTAATATTAAACAACAACTGTACTACTACTACTACAATAACCTGTAATATTAATAATATTAAACATCTCTACTACTACAATAACCTGTAATACTAAACAACAACTGTACTACTACAACAACTTGTAATATACTATTCAAAAAAAGTAGGGGATATTTGATTTTGGGGGCATAATACTAAAATATGCAAATGACTACGAAAAAAGTCACTATAGAACCTAACAGAAGAAACATTTCCAGTTACATGTGACGCCCAAACGCACCAATAGCTACCGCATGGAATGCAGGTGATGCTTGGGATCATCATGGGGGTCCAACCCAAGATTTGCACGACTCTGACTTTGAATGTTACAGTCATTGTGGCATTGAATTCCAGGGTGGAATCATCAGTTTAATTGTTTTAGTGACCAGAAAACAAATTTTGATATGCGTCGGCTTACCTAAAATGAAAGGTTACGTGCCCTTGGCATGCTACAGATCGGCACAACACAGGCGGTTGTGGCGCGGACGATGAATGTTTCTCAGTCTGTCATAAGCAGGCTATGGTCCAGATACCGTGATACACAATCTGTACAGGACAGACCACGCTCAGGTCGACCAAGGGCGACAACTCAAGCCCAGGATCGATTTATCCGTACCTTGGCCTTGAGAAATCGTGTCATCACAGCAAATCAGATCAGCGCTCGTCTTCAAACAGACACTGGTATGAGAGTGAGTGGCCAGACGATTCGGAATCGACTGCATAGGGGTCACCTTCGCGCCCGACGTCCTCGCGTGATCCCTTGTTTGAGAGATCATCACATTCAGGCAAGACGTCGTTGGTGTAGGGATCGTCAACACTGGGATAATCGACGCTGGAGCAATGTGATGTTTTCAGATGAGTCAAGGTTCACTGTTGATTTTTTGGACAGACGTAGGAGGGTGTGGCGTCGTCGAAACGAGCGCTTCCAAGACGTTAACGTCATCAGACATGATCGATTTGGGGGTGGTTCTGTTATGGTGTGGGGAGGCATCACTGTTGCTGGAAGAACGGCTTTACATGTTGTTGCAGGGCGTGTTACAGGCCAGTACTACCGGGACAACATCTTGGCAGTCCATGTTGTGCCGTTAGCACGACGTCATGGCCGCCGTTTCATCTTCCAGGATGACAACGCAAGATGTCACAGGGCCAGGATCGTTACAGGTTACCTCCAACAACAGAACATCACCACATTACCTTGGCCAGCACTGAGTCCCGACCTCTCCCCCATCGAGCATGTCTGGGACATGCTTGGACAGAGGTTACGTCAACGTCAACAACGTCCTGCCAATGTCCAAGAACTTGCTGCTGCGTTGCAACAGGAATGGGACAATCTGGACCAAAATGACCTTAGACGTCTCATTAGGAGTATGCCACGTCGGATCAATGCTTGTTTGGCAAACAGAGGAGGATTTACCCGTTACTGACTTGGTTGTGATGCTGTGGTAACTTTGCTGTTTGACCCCGGGTATCATTTTACCCTTATAATGGTCAGTCTGTGCCTTACTTAGTCTAACGATCATTTGGAATAAATCGATGAATGTGAACTTCATTTCATTTTGTCATTTGTTTCTTCGTCAGTTTCATTAGGTGACTTTAATAACACTTAAAAATCAAATATCCCCTACTTTTTTTGAATAGTATATTAAACAACATCTTTACTACTACAACAACATGTAATATCAAACAATATCTTTACTACTACAACAACATGTAATATTAAACAATATCTTTACTACTAGAACCTGTAATATTAAAAACATCTTTACTACTAGAACCTGTAATATTAAACAACATCTTTCACTATAGAACTGGTATGGTTTAATTAGGTTTTTTTACCGCTAAGTATACATATAGTTTACTTTCTAAATATTGTTTGATAATTGATAAAAAAAATTTGAGAACTATAAAATGGGTTAATTAGTACTATGGCTTAGCTTAATGGGAACCGTTTAATTTCTCCAAGAGGTGGTTATAAATGGACGACCCATTCATTTATCTACATCATTTATTTATTTACCGCATTTATTTATTACACGGGCAGTTTAATTTCCCGAGATGCGGGTATAAATCAACACCTGGTTAATTCATCCATGGACCTTGTATTTTAAGTTCCATGATTCATCTACGGTGTTTAACTATTAGATGAACCGTTTAATTTTCCACGAGGTGTTTATCCGATCTATTTAATTTTAGGTTCATTTTGTTTAAGATTATTTACCTATTAAGTAGGCATAAAAAAGGGTGAAATAATGCCAATATACTAGTACACAAAATTCGTTACCTTTAACATAAAGCATCTGACCACCGCCACCAAAAGAATAGATTGGTTCCCATGGTGATGTTAGATCAAACAATGTAGGTAATGTTAGTTGACAGACATCCTGACCATTCGTTACATCTTTTAATAATAAAGATCGATCTTCTGTTACAACCAGCAGCTAAAATTAATAAAGAGAGAAATGGGGTTTAACGTCCATTCAACAGAAACTAGGTCATTTCGGGACTAACATATGATTCAATTTTATTTCAATAATTCGCTTGCACGTGGGGAGGAAACCGGACGACCCAGAGAATACCCACGAGATTGAACAGACGACCCTATTCCTTGTCACGTACAACCGGGGAATCGAAACCACGCCAGTTGACTCAATGACAGACCTTATGATGCAGTGCGCACCTGTTAACCATTTGGCCATCCAACCCCCCTAAAATTAATAACAAATTATATTTCAACACAAGGTACAATCTTATGGATACACAATTACGCCTACATTGATCGAAATAATGTTGAACAAAGAATTACAGCCTTTTGACCTCACTCTACTCTAATCCTGTACACCTACAGAAATACTGTCTTAATAAAGCTTTGGGGTAATCCCCCAGATCTCTCGCCAAAAAGATGTTCTCTTTGCCCCGGATACTCCATTGCTCAATAATTTATCCATAAAATTGCACCTTGTGTCAATATGCTCAATTACTAAATGTCTATCAATGAAATAAAATGAAATATATCCAGAGCTAAAATATCACGAATAAACAAACATACCAATTCAGGAATACCAGACACAGTTGATAAAACAGTTTCTTCTTCGTTGTTTTCATTTCTAGGGATAGAAAACATAAAATATATAATCGAGTGTGGTGAATAAATATGAATAATTAAATCAATATGGGTCAAATCAGAAGTGGAATAAAAAATATCGTTTAACGTCCTACTGTTCTACTCCGACTGGGCTAATGAAGTATTATAGATAAAAGTGTTTAACTGAGACTTCAACTGTATTGGATTTTAAAATTGTGATAAGCAACAACAAAAATCTCACTTATGGTTAGAACAAAACTAGTTATGTATAAAGCCTAGCTTATGTCGCCCTACGACGCGATAAAACTGACAGAAACTAACGGCAACTGACAGCTTATGTCGCTACGACGGAATTTATCCACGACTGGACGCAATCACAAGAAACCAGTTGATCATAGTTGTAAGTGCACTCATGTAGCCCGCCGTCAGTTGAAGAATCGGAGCCACAACTGATAACATGACTGACATGTGATAACCTTCAAAATGACCTCATTCCACTTGTCCCCCATGGTTGTTACCGTCCCCCATGGTTGGGTACCACGTGACTAAATAATCAAATCTGATTGGCTACGTCAGCGAGTCGCCGACAAAAGCCAGTCATGGTTGCGCTCATGTCGCTTGCGACTAGGGACAACTAGTTGTCTCTAGTCGTAGGAGTAGAACATGTGCGACTCAGAGAAACTAAAAACAACTGGATAGCGACTGGTTGCCGTCCGACTTACACCAGTCACAAGAGCACTCAGGTCACCCAGGTAGTCTCGACCAATCAGTTCCACTTGATCGTAAACCAGTTGCCGATTTCGAGTCGCCGTCAGTTTTATCGCGTCGTAGGGTGACATAAGCTAGGCTTAAGAGAAATCTGAAACAGATACCCATATAATATATTGACTGTTTAAGAGAGAGAGAGAGAGAGAAATGGGGTTTAACGTCCACTCGACACAAACTAGGTCATTTCGTGACTAACACATGGTTTAATTTTATTTACACAATTCGCTTGCGCGTAGGGGTCTTTAGCAGTGGGAGGAAACCGAAGGACCCGGAGAAAACCCATGAGGTTGGACAGGCGACCCAACTCCTTGCCACGTACAACCGGGGATTCGAAACCACGCCAGTCGACTCAATTGCAGACTTTATGATACAGCGCGCACACGCTAACCATTCAGCCATCCAACCCCCCATTGACTGTTTAAACTAGTATTATAAATATATTAACTTACACTGTATACAATACAACTAGTGTGTTTAAACTAGTATTATAGATATATTGACTGTTATCGCTAGTCTGTATTAACAGCCATGCCGAAATTGTTGTTTTATACGGGGGATAGTCCGTTATATCTTGTGATGAAATAGACGGATCGAGAAACTGAAGTTGTTTTATAGAATATTCTGATGATACACCGATCACACCTTTTTCTATACCTAGAGATAAAATAAAACATTATTTTTAGATAGATAGATAGAGAAATGGGGTTTAATGTCCACACTCAACACAAACTAGGTCATTTTGAGACTAAATGATTCAATTTTATTTCAATAATTTGCTTGCATGTAGTGGTCTGTAGCCATTGGAGGAAACTGGAGGACCCAGAGAAAATCCATGAAGAATCGAAACCACGTCAGTTGACTCAATGATACAACGCGCACGCTAACCATTCGGCCATCCAACCCCCTTACATATATCAGTACCAGAAATGGGGTTTAACGTATGGACTAACATACGGTTTAAGTTTTATTTCTTTAGCATGGGTCTTTCGCAGTGGAAGGAAACTGGGGACCCAGAGAAAACCCATGAGGTTTGACAGGTGACCTTACTCCTTGCAATGTACAAGCGGGGAATTGAAACCACACAACTTGACTCAATGGCAGACTTTATGATTTCACGTGCACACGTTAAAAGCACTAGACCACACAACCCCTTGACCACATTAAAATATGTTATTCCTAAAATCAAAATGACTGATGTTTCTTTTGTATCATTGTTTTATCTTACCTAAATATCTATCCCATAGTACAACATTTCCACTTCTGAGACCGACAGCTAAATATGTTCCACATAATGATGTTGTTGAACAAGTAATAGTTGAACAAAATGGCCACACTACATCGGCTTTATGATCAAAATCTGTAACATAAAAAACATATTTCAGTTAAAGGGTCAAATAAAGTGAGAGAGAGAGAGAGAGAGAGAGAGAGAGAGAGAGAGAGTTTAGAATCCACTCAACATTAACCAGGTCATTTTTGGACTAACATGTGGTTCAATTTTATTTCAATAACTCGCTTGCGCATAGGGGTCTTTAGCAGTTGGAGGAAACCCACAAGGTTGGACAGGTGACCCTAGTCCTGGTCACGTACAATCAGGGAACTGAAACCACACCACAGAAAAAACTCAAATCAACTTGGTACATTCATTGCAAATATTGACTACGTTATAGAAAGTTTTATAGAAAAGGGAGCCATGAAGGCCCTGAGTTCAATCCCTTTGTTGACCAAGAAAGTTCATCAGGATTTTCCAGGATGGTTTCCCCCTTGTCAGTGCTGCAGGACGAGGGGCCTGACAAGGGTCAACGTGCAGTCATTCGGAGGGGATAACAAGCTGAGGAAATCTTGACAGTTGCGATTCGATATAAGAGTAAGCCGTAGTGCCGCTGTCTGGGCAGAATTTCCCTCATGGCACACTGGATGGTGCATGTCCGTCTTCATTAGCCCAGTCGTTGCTGAACAGTAGGACGTTAAAACCCATTTCATTTCAGTTTATTTCATAGAGAGAGAGAAATAAGTTTACTGTCCACTTGATACAAACTAGGTCATTTCAGGACTAACATATGGTTTAATTGTATTTCCATAATTCGTTTGCGTGTAGGGGTCTTTAGCAGTGGGAGGAAACCAGGGGACCCAGAGAAAACCCATGAGGTTGGACAGGCACCCATACTCCTTGTCACATACAACTGGGGAATTGAAACCACGCCAGTTGACTTAATGACAGACTTTATGATCCAACACGTACGTGCTAACCATTCAGCTATCCTACCCCCCTAACATAATGTGCCTTTAAATGTATACCAAAGACGATATATATCATTGAAGTGATTATTCTAGAGAATAATACTGTCGGCTACATAATATAATTCGTGTATGAGTAACCTTTGGATTGTTTGAGTAGAGAATATTGACGTAGATTAGATTCACCAGTCCACCAGACAACTACAGTGGTTGGTCGTCCAGTTTGCGATGGTTGTTCTAAGCCTACTGGAGTGAGGCGACTGCTAGTCACAAAATGAAATGTTGGCTGCCTGAAAAAAACAAAAAAACAACGAAAACAAGTAATTAAAACATTTTATCAATCATCTTCACATTCAATTCAATTTGATTAAAGGGGCATTATGTGAGATTAGATAATGAGCTGACAGTTCTCGCTATAATAGTTAAAAAATTAGATAACGTAAAGAGAATATGATGAAAATATCAGCCAAATTGCTCCACTCTGAATTGAGATATTAGCAATTAAATTTAAGGCCTAGTCTTGATCATCATTACTAGAGTCAGTACGATAAAATACAAAGTCTTGATTATCCTTCATAAATTGTATTTAAATTCAGAAAATATCGCAGGCTAGCGATAGCATCAAAAGTTGATTATGGTCTGGATAAGTTAATTAATGTCTAATCAACATTTCTAATAACATTTCAGGCCTAGAAAAAAAACCTGCAATAGGCAGATTTAGCTCTTGCATAATGTATATTAAAACACAGATACTATTCTATTTTGTTTTTGTTATAGTTCAAAATTTCGTTTTTATTTGTCTTCACTGCACAAGGATTTGTAAGAGTTGGTAAAAAAAATTTGCATTCTGAAGGATGAGGGGAATTAGCCACTCAAATGGTCTGTTGTATCGCGCTCTTATCGTCTCTTGCGCAGAACTGTTCGTAGACATTCCCAGCAATAGAAAACAATTCAAAGTCAAATTTGCATTTCCAAAGGAACCAAGATCTTTCGGAGATAGAACTATATTTTTAAGTTTCGTCAAAATTGAATAAAAATTGTGACCTGTCGAGTGTCCACAAACAAATTATGGATGGACAGACAGACGGACGGACGGACGGACGGACAGGGGCGACGACAATATACGTCCACATGAAAATGTGGGCGTATAAAAATTGTGACCTGTAGAGTGTCCACAAAAAAATTGTGGACAGACGTCCAGATGGACGGGGGGCGACGACATTATACGTCCACATGAAAATGTAGGCGTATAAAAATGTCCCGTGTATTTGGACTGACTGCAAGGCAATTCAAAGTAATTACATTATTTCCACATTCTGATTATCTGCCTCAGGTAAATATTTCATCATATTTTCATGTTGTTGTTCAAACAATGAATCTCTCTGCTCTAGATGACCAGATGTAATAATATGGTGTTGTCCTGTTCCAATTACCTCCCCTGAATCAACTTTCTGACAGGCAGACATCACAGAAGAACTTGTTGAACCTAGTGAAGAAATTAAAATCAGAATTATTAGGAAGAAATGAAGCAAAAATTCACACTTACATGTAGAAAGTAAATTTATCTCAAATTTTTTTATGTCGTGACATTTCTCGTGGACCAACGAATCTGATAAAAGTATTGAGTACCAGAAGAATGCCCGGCTTCACTCGGGGGTCATAACTCCGAAACCGGAAGTGGTAGACTAACGCCACCTGGCCTATGTTACTCCCCGGTCCGAGCTTCCCCTATACCCCAAATTTCAGACTCGGGGCAGACCTAGTGTAGCCGCCAACCCCGAACAGACAGACAAACGACAGTCACAAATATTAGTATAGATTATGCACTCTGTTGTTATCTCTATGGCAGCCTGATTAAAACCCAGGGGCCTGTTTCACGAAATTTTAATTAAGATAAAATCCAAATTTTAGTAATTTGATTGGATAATATTAGATTGATTTTAGTTTAGTGCTTAGCCAATCAAAACTGAAGTATCTACTAAAATTTGGATTTTATCTTTAGTTAAGATTTCGAGAAACGGGGCCCAGATCCGTTGTGGTCAGCCCGTTCTGTCTCACTGTCTGTCAATCTTTTGTGAGTACAATCTAGGCTAGAATAATTGATAATCTGGTTAAAACACAGATCTTATTTTGTTTCGTTTTTTTATAGTTCAAAATTTCAATTTACTTGTCTTTACTACACTAGGATCTGGAAAAGTTGTTATTTAACCTCCTGACAAGGACAGCTATCTAGTCCTTCGGATGAGACGAAAAACTGAGGTCCCGTGTATATATTGGAATGCACGTAAAATTTCCCCTGGCAGTTGGAATTTGATATAAGAGTAGGCGATAGTGCTGCTGCCCGGGCAAAATTTCCCTCATAGCACACTGTATGGCGTATGCCCGTCTTCATTAGCCCAGTATAGGAGCAGAACAGTAGGACATTAAACACCATTTCATTTTGTTATATAACCTGTGTTTTGGGTGATGTGAGGGAACAGTCAATGAAACGGTCTGTTGTGGCAAGTTTTTGGTTTGAGGTGCACGGAACTGTGGGTAGCCTACTAGAAACATCAAAGCTGATTGGTTAATCAAATGTCTGAGGTCATAGGGTCAAAAGCTGCTTGTATGACCTCGTATGACCTTCCACTACAACTGGTCAGATCTTCATGTAGTGTAGGCCATCGAAAGTATAAAAAAAACGAAACTAAATATAGATCTGTATTTTAATCAGATTGTCTGTCACTGCTTGTCTCTTTCTATTTTAACAGTGAATGGAGCCACGGTGGTTCAGTGGGTAAGACACTGGCTCGCTAGCCTGGAGGTCACATGTTCGATCCCTACATTGGCCGAGAAAGTTCATCAGGATTTTCCGACGTGGTTTCCCCCTTGTCAGTGGTGCAGGATGGAGGGCCTGACAAGGACAGCGGTCTAGTTGTTCGGATGGTACAAAAAAATCAAGGTCCCGTGTATACATTGGGGTGCATGTAAACGATCCCTTGGCAGTTGAAATTTGATATAAGAGTAGGCCATAGTGCCGCTGTGTGGGCAAAATTTTCCTCATAGCACACTGTATGGCCGTCTTAACAGCAAAACAACTTATACGTACATACGTCGTAAATCTTACCTGTTATTGGCTGCGGTGGATGAATTTTTAAAACTAAAGATTGGGGTGTAAATTTAGGATTGGGTTTTTCTCCAGGTGTTAAGGTAAGAAGTGGTGGAGGTGTGCCTGGTTTAGGGGAACCACTTGGACTCTGAAAAGAGAAAAAGAACAAAATCTGAATTCATAGAAAATTTCTGGAAAAATGGTATCACTCAATCTGATTGAAACACAGAAACTATTTCGTTTCAATTTTATAGTTCAAAATTTCGTGAGGGGTTGGATGGTCGAATTGGTAGCACGTGTGAACTGTATCATAAGGCCTGTCATTGAGTCAACTGGCGGGGTTTCGAATCCCCGGTTGTACGTGACAAGGAGTAGGGTTGCCTGTCCAACCTCGTGGGTTTTCTTCGGGTCCTCCGGTTTCCTCCCACTGCTAAAGACCCCTACTCACAATGCGAATTATTGAAAAAAAAAATTAAACCATATGTTAGCCCCGAAATGACCTAGTTTGTGTCGAGTGGACGTTCAACTCTATTTCTCTCTCTCTCTCTCCTAACAAACAACTAGACATATTTCTCTCTCTCTCTCTCCTAACAAACAACTAGACAATGTTCCTTGAACATGTTCCTGAAGCAACGACTGCAAGTTTTACAACATCTGGACGTTGCTTGTTTACTTCACAATTCCCGCACTTATCGCTACATTATCTGCAGACACGTGAGAAGTAGCGCTCAATTCGAGGTTGTGACATCGCGACCTCCACAGAAACCTTGACATTGAATGAACCTTGAACTTTGCAATTCGATTATCACAGGTAGACATTTTAGCTTGAATGCGCGAGACGTGGTATTAGCGATGATCAAGGAATCTGATAGGCTCACAAGTTGGGCTTGTAGTACCCAATCGAAATTAGTGCTGAAATATGTAGGGTATTACGTGAAGGCCTTGATAAGATGTACGTAGTTAAAGCAAGATCAAGCCTTCTATTGAAAATGTTCCTTGACATGTCTCCTGTCCTACACCACTGACACTGGGATCGAAACCAGGATCTCCTGTTGGTGAGCAAGCGCCTCATCCACTGAGCCACTGTGGCTATCAAAATTTTCAAGGCTTACAAATGCATTATGTAAAAGTGAGAGAGAGAGAGAGAGAGAGAGAGAGAGAGAGAGAGAGATGGGGTTTAACATCCACTTGACACAAACTAGGTCACAAACTAGAGAGAGAGAGAGAGAGAGAGATAGGGTTCACCATCTACTTAAAATAAAATAGGTCATTTCGGGACCAACATATGGTTTTAATTTTATTTCAATACTTCGCTTGCGCATAAGGGTCTTTAGCAGTGGGAGGAAATCGGAGTACCCGGAGAAAACCCTACTCCCTGTCACGTACAACTTATAATACAGCACGCACGCACTATCCAACCACCCTTACATAAAGCTTCTGGAAAAAAATGGCTGATTCAACCACATCAAAAGATTTGTTTCCTTTTTAATAAGTAGATATAGTAATAAACTGTAAATGAACAGTTTGTAAATCATGGTTTTTAACACACAAAAAAAAGTTGTAAGTAAACAAGACAGAGATTAATGGATTAGTAAATGGTAAATAAAATGTCTGTAAATCTGAAAGTAAACTGAATGAAATATTCTATATGCTATATAATATTATATAACATAGGCTACTGGTTGGATTCTCATTTATAAGTTTACATGATACAAACATGTGAAAAATATATATCTATAATATACGTTAAGAAAAGTATTAAATCTACAATATTCTACATAATAAACAGATCACAATTCTATAGAATACAATTACTGCTTATTACTGAGCGATGTTTCCACTAGGCTTCTCTAGTCTATATCAAGCAATGATGATGATGACTAGAGAAGCCTAGTGGAAACATCCCTCAGTAATAAGCAGTAATTGTAGTCCATAGAAGTATTCGGTAGAATTGTGACCTGTATACTCTAGTTCAATTACTAAATATCATTAAAACAATTTATTGTACATACATGTACTCTCTGCTTTTGTTTGGATTTTTCTTTTTTAAGATTACAAAATACAAACAGGTGAAAATTAAGAGAGAGAGAGATCGAGAGAGAGAGAGAGATCGAGAGAGAGAGAGTGAGTGCGAGAGAGAGAGATGGTGGACACAAAATAGGACATTTCGGGACTAACATGGTTATATGGTTCAATTTTATTTCAATAATTCGCTTGCGCATAAGGGTCTTTAGCAGTGGGAGGAACCCAAAGGACCTAGAGAGAACCCACAAGGTTGGACAGGCGACCCTACATCTTGTCACATACAACTGGGGAATCGAAACCATGCCAGTTGACTCAATGACTGACTTTTTGATACAGCGCGCACATGATAAACATTCGGTCATCCAACTCATCCTTAATATTAAGAACATACATCTATAAGACAAATATGTGAAAACATCTACAAGATGATTCTACATTTCGTGTCTTGATGTTGGAATATAAAATCTATTAGATCTAAACAGCTGAATCCATATTTCCATTAGTATCCTATATACAGATTTACCTTATGGTATCTTATTAATCTAGATTTACACTTCATCTAAAAACTAAATCTATAATAGTTTAAATCTAGATTCACCTTATAGTATTTTATTCCTATATCTAGATTTTTACTTCATCTAGAAACTAAATCTATAATAGTTTAAATCTAGATTCACCTTATAGTATCTTATTAATCTAGATTTACACTTCATCTAAAAACTAAATCTATAATAGTTTAAATCTAGATTCACCTTATAGTATCTTATTAATCTAGATTTACACTTCATCTAAAAACTAAATCTATAATAGTTTAAATCTAGATTCCCTTATTGTATATTATTAGTCTAGATTTATACTTCATCTAGAAACTAAATTTATAATAGTTTAAATCTAGATTCCCTTATAGTATCTTATTAATCTAGATTTACACTTCATCTAGAAACTAAATCTATAATAGTTTAAATCTAGATTCACCTTATAGTATCTTATTAATCTAGATTTACACTTCATCTAAAAACTAAATCTATAATAATAGTTTAAATCTAGATTCACCTTATAGTATCTTATTCCTATATCTAGATTTATACTTCATCTGGAAACTAATTCCACAATAATTTCTAGAATCTAACGTGTATCTATAAGTGAACAATATCTACATACAGTGTATCTATCTATCTATAAGTGCTTACTCGTGTTTTTCTACGTTTTTTAATGGACGTGTCAGTTTTCTGTAAATAAAATATAATTCGTGAATATAATTTACAAACAAAGATGTGCCATATTACAAGCTTATCTTAAACAAATAAAAATTATTTCTATCTCTAAATAAAGGTATTCCCCAATAACAAAGATTTATTAAAAACAAAATAATTCTATCTTAAAATAATGAAAACATGAACCCATAGTACTCCTTTAACTTTAATAACATCTCGGTTTTCACTTTTCAAACATGTCTGTCATTTATTTTAAAATTAAGCTGTGCATGTAAAAACTATCTATGGAATATGATTTCAAAAAAATTGTTTTTTCAATGTACTTGTAGCATAATTTTACAGGACATGCCTCTAAACAACGGAGAGAGAGAGAGAGAGAGAGAAATGGGTTTTAACGTCCACTTGACACAAACTAGGTCATTTCGGGACTAACATATGGTTCAATTTTATTTCAATAATTCGCTTGCGCGTAGGGGTCTTTAGCAGTGGGAGGAAACCGGAGGACCCGGAGAAAACCCACGAGGTTGGACAGGCGACCCTACTCCTTGTCACGTACAACCGGGGATTCGAAACCGTGCCAGTTGATCAATGACAGGCTGTATGATACAGCACGCACATGCTAACCATTCGGCTATCCAACCCCTCTTCTAAACAAGGGACTGATGGACAGACAGCGGTGATGACAATATACAACCATGTTTCAATCTATGTATAACATGAATAGACTTACAGGTGTTGGTGATAATGAATTACCAGAACTACCTCTTCTTTCACGTATCTATGATAATATCATAATAATTAATAACATGAAAATATACAAAATATAGGTTTTTTTTACACAAATACAAAAACAAAATCCCTATTTGATTCTGAGAGAGAGAGAGAGAGAGAGAGAGAGAGAGAGAGAGAGAGAGAGAGAGAGATGGGGTTTAACATCCACTTGACACAAACTAGGTCATTTCAGGACTAATATATGGTTTAATTTTATTTCAATAATTCTCTTGCGTGTAGGGGTCTTTAGCAGTGGGAGGAAACCGGAGGTCCCAAAGAAAACCCCCGAGGTTGGACAGGCGCCCCTACTCCTTGTCGCGTACAACCGGGGATTCAAAACCACGACAGTTGACTTAATGACAGGCCTTATGATACAACGCACATGCTATTCGAATCAGTTAAAAAAAATTAAATCAACTTACTGAATAACACCATTATATCATTATATCAAATTTTATTAGCACTTATCATTATAAAAATAATGTGTTTTAATAGAGCGCTTAATGCTTAATTCATCCAAGATGCATGTCCTAGGTGTGTCAAATGAAATGAAAATGAAATGAAATGGGGTTTAACGTCCTACTGTTCTGCTCCTATACTGGACTAATGAAGACGGGCATATGCCATACAGTGTGCTATGAGGGAAATTTTGCCCGGGCAGCGGCACTATCGCCTACTCTTATATCGAATTCACCACTGACCCTAGATGTGTCAATCAATCAATGGTTACTGTGGATAATACACCTTAACAATATAACATGTGTGTCTTAAAGTCTCCATTTAAATTGAGTAGTCCTTTCTGAACCGCCATAGCTGTAAACTAGGTCATTTCGGGATTTCAATAATGCTCCTGTCAAAAGGCAAAACCTAGTAACTCACTTTTTTATCAAAATTGAGTTAGGACCAAATTTGTAGTTACTAGGGTATGTGCTTCCTGTTGTTGTACTAGATCTTCCAATCTTTTGATTTTGTAAGCAGTTACACCCATGACATAACCTAACAACTTCCTTCATTTGCCTAGTATGCCACAGAAAAACCTAATATCTCAATAGTCAAATCAATGGATGATCTGGGGTTTAATATTCATTCATTACGTTTTCCTTTGTTTTCTCAAAATAAGAAAAAAGTGAGTTACTTTTTTTTAGCAGAGGGAGGAAACCGGAGGTCCCGGAGAAAACCCACGTGGTTGGACAGGTGACCCTACTCCTTGTCACGTACAACTGGGGAATGGAAACCACACCAGTTGACTCAATTACAGGCCTTATGATACAACGTGCACGTGCTAACCATTCGGCCATCAAAGAGTTTGTTCGATCAAAAATAGCGAAATTAAAGTTAATAATTTCTTAGAATAGTCATGCCTCGGGCATAATTAACTTGAATAAAAAAATAAAAAGCAAGACTTTGGTCATAGTTCTTTAAAACATATCTCATTTTATACAAAATAATATCAGGGTTTCCGCCAGAAAAAACTGAAAGGGGGGTACAAATTATTGGATCGCTGAAGGTGGCAAAGGTCATCCATAAGCGCAGTAGGTGAACACTGTAAATCCGTTTTCCGAGCATCTCGGAGAAGAAAATTCACCGACCTAAATCCATTGTTTCAGGAGGAAAACACTGCAAATTCGGCATGACAGACCCACAAGTAGCCGTCTAATGTATGATTCCCATGTCATTCTCCAATAAAGTTCACTTATTTAAGCACGATTGTTCAGATATTAATTGCCCGTTCTACCATTGCGATGTATGTTTTGTTTACACGCAGTCATCTGGCAGAGCTAAAACTAAATCAGAACCAAGAAAGAGGACGAGTTGGTAGATGGACCAAATGAACTATGCCTATTTCCCATTTAAAAAAAACAAATATGCAAATATGAATAAATTATTGCTTAATGAAAACAAATAAATAAAAATATCAAATGGGGGAGGGGGGCACATGAACTATGTCCATTTCACGTTTAGAAAAAGAAATGAATAAAACATCGTCTATTGAAATCTAATCTAATAAGATGGCAAAAATACAACACTTACAGAGTGAGACAACAACGTATTACTATTACTACCTCTTCTGACACCAATCTGTGGGATTTATAAACAAATTAAATCTGAATTATAACCAATCTGTGGGATTTATAAACAAATTAAATCTAAATTATAACCAATCTGTGGGATTTATAAACAAATTAAATCTAAATTATAACCAATCTGTGGGATTTATAAACAAATTAAATCAAAATATAACCAATCTGTGGGATTTATAAACAAATTAAATCTAGATTATAACCAATCTATGGGATTTATAAACAAATTATAACTAGATTATAATTAAATCTGTGGGATTTATAAACAAATTATAACTAGATTATAACTAAATCTGTGCGATTTATAAACAAATTAAATCTACTTGACTGAATGACAGACTTTATGATCTAACATACACACATTAACCCATTCGGCCACCGAACACCCCATCAAATATAAAAAATATAACAGCTGTTTACAATGCATATTTTGACTATAACATCAAACATACTATTTTGACTATAGCATCAAACATACTATTTTGACTATAACAAACATACTATTTTGACTATAACAACAAACATAATATTTTGACTATAACATCAAACATAATATTTTGACTATAACAACAAACATACTATTTTGACTATAACATCAAACATACTACCGGTATTCTGACTATAACATCAAACATACTATTTTGACTATAACATCAAACATACTACTGGTATTCTGACTATAACATCAAACATAATATTTTGACTACAACATCTATTCTACAAAGATATTTGTAATACAATGTCTTACAGTTAATGTTGGTGGTATTTTAATATTGGTAGTACTCCCTTTACGTTCTGTAAACACCTAATATATACATTGGTAACAATAGTATATTACTAAAAACAATCTTAAATTTCTTTTGATAGTATACCAATATTTCACAAACACTTAGGCCCAATATATACCTTACTAACAGTATTAATATAATTTAATATACTTTTAGAAACCTCTGTAAACCTTATTCTATGTTCTTTGATGTTTATTATTGCATTGTACTTTGTATAGTATGCTTTACCATACTCCTGTACACCATGCAATTGTGTAATAAAGCATTATTATCATCATCGTTATTATTATTACCAAATGTGCCATACTTTTATTGGAAATAACCACCCGATAAACATTTTAGTGACAATGTATCTTTAAAGAAATATTAGTCCACAAATTCAATGTGAGTACATTTTAGCATGAATCAAGCTGTAAAAATAAAGCACTTGGCAATCAGTAACTTTAATAACTGTGCATAGAAACATATTCAGTGAGAATAAATAGAATTAGATATTTAAAAAAAAACTGTGCATAGCAACATATGCAGTGATTATATGAAGAGTCCAGGGGAAGAACGATCTAAGTCACATTTTTGTCTTTTCGCATAAAAGGCAAAATAGACTTTTGGACAAGAATGCTTGACGTAAACAGAACAACAAGTGGGTTTAATTACAACTTCAAAATGATGTTTAATACGAATCATAATTACCAGTACAACAACTGACTTCAACTTTTCAGCCAAATTAAGGTCAAATAAAAGGTAAGATGGACGTATTTGTCCGGGAGGCCATTTCAGATATGGAAGACCAAATGGGACAATATTCATGATTCTTGTTTCTACAACTTTATGTTTCATTTTCGGTGTTTTATCGGTAACTTTTATATATCATTAAATATTAAAATTAAAAAATAATTTCTTAATTTTACACGATAAAGAAATCAATTCATTGGTTTCTGAAAGTATCTAAAAAAAATCTGTATCAAAGTTGTACACATACGCTAACGCCCTCTGGTGTAATAATGTTGATAATTCATTATATTTTTCTGGACATTTTCATTTCAAGATTTTAACTTCAAGACTTTTTGAAACGTAGAAAATATTTTCATAAGAGTTCAACTTCCAGATTTTTTTTTTTTTAGATACTTTTAGAAACCAATGAATTGATTTCTTTGTCGTGTAAAATTAAGAAATTATTTTTTTAATTTTAATATTTAATAATATATATAAGTTACCGATAAAACGCCGAAAATGAAATATAAAGTCAATTTTTTGTTTAAAATGTTGATTTTGTGCATGAAATGTTGACATAAGAATGTAGAAACAAGAATCATTAGTTAAGAATGTTGCGTTCGTTTCTAAAATGTTCAAACTGGAATGTAGAAACTAGAATCATGGATATTGTCCCATTTGGTCTTCCATATTCAGAAGGGCCTTGGTTCGATGTGACTCTGTTCGTTTTTACCTGAAATTGATTGTTCCACAGAAAGCTTATACAATTTGTTACCAGATGGCACCATTAAATGGGGTTCGTTGAAAAAGTGACTTAGATCGTTCTTCCCCGGGGCTCTTCATATGGAAATTGACAACTCGGTGTATGTTTAGTATATAAAGAGGTTGAGTATGAACGATACCTGAGTATTATCATCTGTACCTTCAGCAGCCATTGCAGCTTCTTCTTCTTGTTGCTGTAAAATATTAGTCATTTAAACATACATTATGCAAGAGCTAAATCTGCCTATTGCAGGCCTTTCTTTAGGCCTGAAATATTATCTAAATTATTAATTAGACATTTATTAACATGACAAGACCATAATCAACTCTCGATGCCATCTTATGTGTCTGATTTTCATTGGATTTGAATCTGCTGTTTAACGTCTGTTGATGATTAAACGCAAAAATGTATAATTGAGACTTTGTTAATTATTGTGACAGCAGTAACAATGACAATCAAGGCTACAGAGATTTTGAAATAAGGTTTTCTCAGCTTAGAATGAAGCAATTTGACTGAGATTTTCAGCATAATCCCTTTACATCATCAAATTTTTAACTATTATATTGAGAACTGCCAGCTCTAATCTTCCATAATGTATCTTTAATTGTTACATGTAATCTAAATTACTGGATTGGGGCTTACTAGTGCTGAATAGTTATTATACCAACCTGACTTAAAGCCTTTAATTCAGCTACCACTGTCTCCATTTCTCTTAACCATGTATCTCGTGGCAACCGATGTAACTCCAACCAAATCTCACTACTTGATGTATCTGTAAAATAATAGTATTAGATGAACAAAACTTTTACTGAAAATTGAAAAAACATTTAAAATTATAATTTTTTTGGGAACAAATATAGTCTTCAAAAAAAGTAGGGGATATTCAGAAACAATACAAAACTGCGGAAATGCAATGACCAGTGTATATTAATAACAGGCCAATTGCCTACACATGAATATAAACAGTTCATATGGGTGGCTTATCTGACGGCCCCAATTCATTCGCGAAGAGATACACCGTCAATGAGAAAGATTTGCCTTGCTAGGCCCTCCATACTGCACCATTGGAAATGGGAAAATACACAGGAAAATTGATAGAAATTTTCTCGACCAGGATCAAACCAAGAACCTGCGGGTTACTGAGTATGAGCCATGATACACACCATCGAGGCTGCTACTATCAAATAAAATTGCTTACAATCCAAGGGGGGTTGGATGGCTGAATGGTTAGCACGTTCGCATTGTCTCATAAGATCCGTCATTGAGTCATCTGGTTTGGTTTCATTGAGTCATCTGGCGTGGTTTCCATTCCCTGGTTGTACGTGACATGGGGTAGAGTTGCCTGTCTAACCTCGTGTTTTTTTTCCGGGTCCTCCAGTTTCCTCCAACTGCTAATGACCCCTACGCGCAAGCAAATTATTGAAACCAAATTGAACCATATGTTAGTCCCGATATGACCTAGTTTCTCTCTCTCTCTGGCTTTCAATACACAATTCCTGGCATTGAATAGATCTGATTCATTTACGAAATAATAAAATATTGAAATACATTTTCTGGAGAATAGAAAACTTACTTTCCAAAACAATTCCAATATAATCTCCTTCATCAGACGATTCACATTTTGTAGAAATTATTTTGGTAGAACCAGGTTCCTTAAAGACATAAAATATTCAGTTCCAAAATTAATGCAAATATCTGTTAATTAGCCGGGTTCCTTAAAGAAATAATATATTCATTTCCAAAATTAAAGATACATTATGTAAGATTTAGATAAAGAGCTAGCCATTCTTGCTATAATAGTTCGAAAATAGAAAATGTAAAAAGAATAATTTGAAAATTTCATTCAAATTACTCTATTGCGAGCGAAGATATTAGCCTTTGAAGGTTTGACAAGACGTGTGCAATAATTTCAACCACCGCACTGGTTGTTCGAAGCTAAGTCTCGCTCCCCCACTTTTAGCTTAAATCAAAATATGGCTGAACTGTTCTAATCTATTAAATATCGGGGAAATCCGATGCCATCGAGGGTTGATTATGGTCTGGATAAGTTAATGTCTAATTAATAATTTAGATAACATTTCAGTCCTAAAGAAAGACCTGCAATAGGCAGATTTATCTCTTGCATAATGTATGTTTAAATAAATAATATATATTGATTTCCAAAATTAATGCAAATATCTGTTATTTAGCTTTCATTTGTTTTGGGGTTTTTTGGAGCTACAGTGGTTAAGTGTAGTGTTGGGTATTGGAGCTGCAGTCACATTACGCTACGTATTGCGATTCAGGTGCTACGATACGATTTGTATCACGATTCATAACCATGTCAATATTTACCAAGAAAACAACGGGATAAATGAATAAGTGATATATTTAGTCCTGCCGCTGTGGCAGGGCTGTCGGTAATTTTTCACAGATGATTAGCAGCACTGCTAATCAAAAAGTCCAATTTTGCCAAATTTGATTAGCAAATTTAAAAATTGATTAGCAGTTTTTCAGTTTCAACATAAAACACCTAAATAACAAGATTATTTTAATTTTAATTGATAACAAACGGTTAGATTTCATTCTAAAGATTTTTTTAGAACTTTAGCACTTCTACAGGTAGCTGTGAACATTTCCGAATGAATGTAGACTTTTGGTTAGGCCTTATGTCTGGGCAGTGACTTCTTATTTCTTCGTTAGAAAACAATTTCGTCTGCTTTTTATCGTGTGTTATTATTTTTGTTCAATCGTAAGCACGCGGTATTTTACGAATAATCTCGATTATCTAGACGTACGCGATATAAACAATAAAAGTTTACGGGAATTCTTACTTTGATTTCTCATTTTACAATACGTTTACACATATTTATTTTTTATATTTTATTTACAATACGTCTGGGATACACTGAATTTAATTTTTTTCAAATTGAATACTTATATAATTACTCGTAATTGACATGTCTCGCAACGCGAGTGGTACTACTTGATTCCCTATTTCCGGTTTAATAGTCCCGATTCATAGAGTTATGTCCCTGTATTATATAGTATAATGAATTGAGTCGGGGTAGTTTGAGAAGAAAATGTCACACGGAGAATTCCATTTTGTTTATAAAATTGATATTTTATATACGTTGAAAGCGTTGAAAAATGTGGATAAATCTTTGTGTCATATCCAAAATGACATGCATGTTAATGATTCGCAATTATTGCGAATCAAAAACGTTAGATTTTAATTTTTGATTAGCAACGGACAAAATATGTATCGCAAATTGCGCTGCGATACTGGTTGTCGGCAGCCCTGCGCTGTGGAAGAAATTAAACTGTTTAATATTGATGTGGATCAAAGTAAGGACGAAAACAATTTACGAGTGTTTGTGTGTTTGTGTGATGTGGATAATTAAGAGTTACAGGTTATTTACTGAAGCGACAAAAAAATCATAAAAAAATAATCTCGATTAATCAATTAAGCATTTCACAATTCAATATGCAAATCATGAGAAGATGAATCACAATACATCGATTCAACGATATATTGAGCCATCACTAGTTGAGTGACGTCCCAGGTTTGAACTATAGCACGGATTGCGTGCCTAGACGTTTGGAGGGGACAAAACAGACATGTTCCACCAAATTACACACAGGCATGCATGTGAGTTCCAAGCAAAATTCATCTCCCTAACATTGCCTGTTTGAAATTGAAAAAAAAAATAACCATATGTTAGTCTCAAAATGAGGGAAGGATCGTCGAGGGGTTAAACACCACTCCATTAAATTTTTTTATCGGGTACAAATATACAGAGCAAACAAGATTTCAACCAAAATTTAAAATCTGTAGAAAATGTGTCAGGGGAGATAATCCATACAATAGTGAAACTTGATTTCATCTGAAAATGGAGAGAGAGAGAAATGGGGTTTAACGTCCACTCGACACAAACTAGGTCATTTCGGGACTAACATATGGTTTAATTTTATTTCAATAATTCGCTTGCGCATAGGGGTCTTTAGCAGTGGGAGGAAACCGGAGGACCCGGAGAAAACCCACGAGGTTGGACAGGTGAATCTACTCCTTGTCACTTATAACCGGGGATTCGAAACCAGGCCAGTCGACTCAATGAGAGACTTTATGATACAGCGCACATGCTAACCATTCAGCCATCCAACCCCCCCGCATCTGAAAATGATTTTCATGGATGCATGAACAGTATTTTCCCTAATTTAATTTTTCTTTTTTTTACAAATCTGACATCAAATGATTTGTTGTCTCTGGAAGTATATTAATTTCACCATAATTGACATGCTTTACGGCAAACAAGTAAAATCAAATGAAACGTGTATCTTAACATTCCACATTTCTGCATCAACAGGGCATATGCCATACAATGTGTGCAGGCTTCGAAATTAGCAGACGCAAAGACGCGAAAAGCGTGCTAAAATATGAAAACAGCGTGTAAGGTTTTGCGTCTACGGTAATTTAGTTTAAAAAGCAAATTTTAAAACTTGAATTTTTCCATAGCTTAATTCTGTGAAAAGGGTGAAAATGTTTATCATAAAATTTTACCCAAGACGCCATTTTGATGCATATAGACTCACTTTCCTTTAACAAACTCAGAGTCTCAACAGAGTCGTAACTAAAATACTACTGACGTACTGACGTAGTATTTTGGTGTTTAAAGATGATTACTGCATTTTATAAACGCAACAACCAATCCGAACAACTAGATATTACTGCCTATCGCCAGCTCTCTATATGGCAAAGGTAAACTCTGCATGAGGATACTTCAACTTTAAAACAGTTGTATCATGAAACCAAAAAATAAAAAAAATATAATTTACAATAGCTTCTCACCTGTACCTGTTCATTTAAAATTTTCAATAAAAATATCTGTTCTGATGAGAAAATGAACAACTTGACAATACCTGAAATATTAATGAATTAAAATGAAAATTGTACTCAGTATATAATTCAAAATTTAAAGTGGCTATATGGGAGATTAGATAAACAGCTGGCAGTTTTCATTATAATAACTAGATAATGTAAAGGGAATTTGCTGAAAATTTCAGTCAAATTGATCCACTCTGAACCGAGATATTATCTTTTGAATTTTAGGCCTTGCCTCGATCATCATTCCTAAAGTCGGTATGATAAAAATAAACATAGCCTCAATTATCCATTTTTGGATTAAATCATCAATGAGCTTTGAACATCAAATCAGGTTCAAATCCAGGAAATATCGCAGGCTAGCGATGACATTGAGAATTGATTATGGTCTGGGTAAGTTAATAAATGTCTAATTAATAATTTAGATAATATTTCAGGCCTAAAAAAAGACCTGCAATAGGCGGATTTAGCTCTTGAATAATGTATATTTAAGTAGTTGACCTGATTTAGCTCTTGCATAATGTATGTCTAAGTTTCAATACCACTGATGAAACAATACACAGTTGTTAGCAAATGAATATACTTAATTGTTTTTTTATATATAATCTAACAATATCTTTATTCAGAAAGTATGATGCCAACAGTTTAGAAGAGGGCAAGAATTGGGGTTTAACATCCACTGACTAATGCTAATCTTTATTTCAATATATTTCCTTGAGTGTAGTGATCTTCAGAAGGCACAGATTAAGCGGGGTGCAGACTGGGCTGCAGACAGGGGCCCCAATATTAAAGAGGCCCCAATATTTAAAGGACCATCAATTAGTTCTAAAAAAATAATTTATGATTTTATTATCATGTAGCATATGTTCGTACCAAACAAATATATCTGTCTACCATACCAGCATACAGACATACAAATTGCATTTGTTTTTAAAAGTGTACCGGACAATGAAAAGGATATAAAATGTTCCTTTTCACTGTTGATGTTAGGGTCCCAGTGACATTTTCAGCCATGGTCCCCATAATACGTCCCTGGTCTTCAGCAGTGGGACGAAACTAGAGGACCTGAAGAAAAACAAGGTTGGATAGGTAACCTTACTCATCAATATCACACGCAAGCTTAGGATTCAAATCACACGACATGACTTAAAAAAAACAGACCTTATGATTTAAAGCACACATGTAAGACCACTCAGAGATCCACCCACCACTACCCAAAACAAGGGGGCTTCTCCCTAAAACACACATGTAAGATCACTCAGCCATCCACCCACCACTACCCAAAACAAGGGGGCTTCTCCCTTAAACACACATTTTCTTATATTTTTTTAAAGTTTCGTACACAAATAAATAAAATAACAAACCCATTTCATCAATTGTAACCAACAAATATGTTTGTACACCAATTAAATGACACTTGATGTGGACAATATCAACTTTTTCTTCATCCCATGTTGCCACGGTTTCTTGAGTTAATGAATCTATGGCCACGATGCCATTAGATAAACCAATAAAAACATATCTTCCATCTACGCTATCTGTTAATGCTGTTGCCTTCTCATGATTCTTAAATACAATTAAAAACATTGAATTTTCATCTATAGATAGATTCCTATTTAGAAGAGAGAGAGAGAGAGAGAGAGAGAGAGAGAGAGAGAGAGAGAGAGGTCATTTTTGGACTAACATATGGTTTAATTTTATTTCACTAATTTCAATAATTCGATTGCGTGTAGGGGTCTTTAGCAGTGGGAGGAAACCGGAGGACCTGGAGAAATTCCACGAGGTTGGACAGGCGACCCTACTCCTTGTCACATACATGTACAACCGGGGAATCAAAACCATGTCAGTTGACTCAATGACAGACTTTATCATACAGCCCGCACATGCTATAACCCCCAAATATTAGTGATTTAGCTTCTTTAGGCTAAGTTCCGACAAAAAAGATGAAATAAAAAGTCCTGTGCATTTTAACAATGCACATATTCGATAAACAAATATTAATTTGACGATGTTGGACAAAAAATACACAGCGATTATTTTATTTACCTGTAATTTAACGGCACAGTCATATTTAGGTGGACGGATTTTATTTAAATTAGCAGTCTTCTTAGTTTCAATCTCAGAAATGAAAGACCAAGCCTTTTCCACAACACTGTCAACTATTTTGTTTACAAGACGATAAGGCTGAGGTATTTGGTCCCTCAATTTATCCGGATCAATAAACTCGAAATCGTTTTCATCCAGATCCGCTATGTTCTCCAGAGAAGGTGGAGTAAAAGTCATATTTTTCCTTACATATACAGGCATCTTGGCTCTAAAATTTAGTAAGGATATTTGATATATCGACAGCGATCGTAAAAAATATTAATAATATTTTTTCTAACAGAAATAGACAACTTTTTTTTAAAATGTAAACATTCGTCAATCCGTTACCAGGTCGTCCATATTGAAACAAATCTCTATCAACCTTGACCTTGTCTTATTTCCTGTTTCAGTTGTTTTGTGACGGTATTATTTTTCACCCATAAAATATCTTATTTTCAATAAATCACACATTTGAATTAGCCTCGTTTGTCCTATGGTAGATAGAAATGATAATATCTTATATTAATACTCACTTAGAAATGATTATGAGGTTAAGATCGAGATCATACCTGCGCTAGAGCGTAACATCTTCCTCATATTTTATGAAGTCACGAAACAGTATACAAGGGGAGATCACGCACCCGTACATTAAAAAAGTAGAGCAAAATCATCATGGATCCGCACACCTGAAGTTAAAGCAACTGCATAACTATGTAAATATATAAATAAATAGGCCGGTAGATCAAAGTCCATCACATTTTTTGACTGTGAATGTTTCGAGATGGCGACAGACTTTTTCAGTGGGGTTGTTAAGTTTAATGCACAGACGTCCGGAAGAGATAAATTATGCAGGTATAAAATAATTGATTAATATGCATTACATTTTTTTAAGGAAAATCAATTAAAAGCAAAGGGGTTTGCCTTTAAGTTTTGGGTGATTCGCTAAACGTCCAGTTTATTTTCCTGATAAATTTAAGGTAATTGGTATATATGTTCACATTCAGTCAGTGTCATATGAAATCTGCGACTAGCAATAGGCCTCTGCCTGGCGCCGGTATAAGGCTAAGTAGCTACGAACGAGAACGTAGCTAAAAATGTTGAGTCTTGAGACATATTGATGTGCTTGTTTTTAGCTACGATTGGGCGTCATTAGTTTCACCTAGCAAACTCAATTTCTTTATTAATGCATGTAACTTCTTAAAAATAAAATAATTTTATGTGTTAAAGACGTCAGATTTAAAATGTCGGAGACAGCAATCTATTATCGCTTCGATTTAAAAAGAGGGGATTTGTACCTATGTCAGATAGAATTTTATGCTTAATTATTGTTGGATGTGGCAGAAATGTTATAAATAACAATAATCAATGGTTGTTTTGAAGAAAAAATTGTCAATTTTGCTTATTTGAAGCCCGATGTGATTAGCGTTGGGGGTTTACCAGTTGAAACTATATAGCACCATCTCGAAACACGGAGGGTTTCTTATATAAAGGCTAAGCTGTATTGATATGCACACTAACACTATTTATGGAATAACAATCACTGGTTTATTAACATGCAATGTTTCGACGATGATACTCTCGTCTTTATCAAGCAAATGATAACATATATGTTGTTGTTCTTAGCGTTTAACGTCCACTTCCACCGAAGGTGATATCGCAGACAAGTTCATTTTAATGATCTTAGCGCACGCACAGGGGTCTTTGCTGTGGGAGGAAACCGGAGTACCCGGAGTAAACCCACGAGGTTGAGAAGGCGCCCCTATCTCCAAGCCACATACGCTCACACCTGGGATCGAAACCACAGCCGCAAGCCAGAGGTGACCGGCCAACTAGAGGTCGAAGCGTGACACTCTCGACCACTAGGCCATCCCAACCCTCCTGATAACATATATGTAAAACATCAAGTATTTATATACAGTATAAATGATAAGATATATGTAAAACATCAAGTATTTATATACAGTATAAAAAGAAGCCATAAATATAGATCTTATATATAACTAGCACTGATCAAAGGGATGATGATAAAACCCTAAGTGGTTACAATATTGATATGGATATGGATATTCTCATGTCATACTTGATTAATAACAGGCCTAACATATACTAGCGCTATATCAAAATTTTATTTGATCATCTCCTGATGTTACTATTATTCGATATGAATGCACAATCTCCCAAACAGAGTTGTCTTCCCTTGCAGTCCACACTAACCTCTGCTAACGGCTCATTTGGCTACGCCACCAAGATTCTTGGTACTAGTATCGATAGACAATGATAAACAATACAACAGAAACACAGTAAATGACAATATACTTATTTTTATTACTACACTAGGATCTGGAAGAGTTGTTATATAACCTGATGTGTGGGATTAGCCAATGAAACGGTCTACAGCAAGTATTTGACGTGAGGTGCACGGAAGTGTGGGTAACCCACTAGAAACATAAGCGTTGATTGGTTAATCAAATGTTTGATGTCATAGGGTCAAAAGCTGCTCATATGACCTCTGATGCGACCTTCCACTTCCACCGGTCAGATCTTCATGTGCTATAGAACATCAAAAATATAAATCTGTATTTTAATCAGATTGGGTTGATCTCTACTGATTCTGTCTTAATCCGCATCAAGACACCTATAATTACCTCCCATGTGTATATTGTATGTCAGTCATCTCGAATTGTTTGTTACTTCACGGGGGTTGGGGGGTTGAATGATTTAACACATGCGTTGTAGATCATAGGCCTAAGTATACAGGTGACAATTCTATGGAATACAATTACTGAGCAACGTTTCGACTGGGCTTCTCTAGTTATTATAATCAAGCTCAGTAATAAGCAATAATTTTATTCCATAGAAATTGTAATCTGTATATATATATTCCAGTTCAATTACTAAATGCCATTGAAACAATTTGTAGATCATAATGTCTGTCATTGAGTCAACTGGCGTGGTTTTAAATGACAAGGAGTAGGGGTCCTCTGGTTTCCTCCTGCACACAATTAAGTGTTTAAAATTAAATTGAACCATATCAATAAATGATCAGCCCAGATGTTATGTTATAATTGTATAATCGACTTTTGTTTAAACTGTGTATGCTGTCCTTGCTGGATGAAATGATACAATAAAATCTTATCTTATCTTATGTTATGTTAATCCAAAAATGACCTAATTTGTGTTGAGTGGATGTTAACCCCATTGTTCTCTTTCTCTTGCTATTCATACAAGTATGACATCTGCTATGTTGCCCAATCGTAGAGTACTACATTGGCTCAGTGAGTAGGACATTAGCTCGCTAACCTGAAGGTTCTGTGTTCAATCCCTGCATTGGCCGAGAAAGTTCATTGGTATTTTCTAGTGTGGTTCCCCCATGTCAGTGATGTCTGGCAAGGGACGGTGTATAGTCATTCTGACAACGATGTAAAAGATCCCTTGGTAATTGGAATTCGATTAAACAGAAGGCTAAGTTTCCTTCACAGCACACTGTATGGCATATTCTCTTTTTCATTAGTTCAGTCAAGAAAGCGAGAGAGAGAGAAATGGGGTTTTACGTCCACTCGACACAAACTAGGTCATTTCTGGACTAACATATGGTTTTATTGTATTTCAATAATTTGCTTGTGCGTTGGGGGTCTTTAGCAGTGGGTGGAAACCAGAGGACCCAGAGAAAACCCACGAGGTTGGGCAGGCGACCCTACTCCTTGTCACATACAACCGGGGATTCGAAACTAGTTCAGTCAGACCAGAAGAGTAAGATGTTAAACACGATTTCATTTCATTTTGTTTTGTCTATTTTTCAGATTGTGTCAGTATGGATGTAAATTAGTCTGGTGGTATATACACCAAGATGGCAGTCGTAAAGATCTGGCTGTCAAGTTGAAAAATTTAGAATCTTCAGTTTCTACTACAAGAAAATGTAAGGAAATACAACCTTTGTATATTAGATTTTCTTTTATGTATTTTATGATTTTATTAGCAAGTCACTTTTCACAGATATTGTCAGGCTCAAGTCCCTGTGTATACATTGGAGTGCATGTAAAAGATCTCTTGGCAGTTGGAATTTGATATAAAGTAGGCCATAGTGCCGCTGCCCGGGCAAAATTCACCTCATAGCACAGTCTGAGCAGAACAGTAGGATGTTAAACCTCCTTTCATTTCATTTATATTTGTATTTTTCAGTGTTACGGTTTGGTAAAAGTGTGGACTTTATACAAAGTGCTTTAAAGAGTATACACATAGATGATACGGTTTGGCGTTTAACGATAACGCTGTCCAAAATAAACCAAGCTTGTTATCTTCTCTTTGACCATTTAATTTGGGCGGGACGAGTTGGCATCATGAAGGTGGACAGTAAGAAATGGTCTGAGTTATCGGCTCGATTCTGGTTGGTCAGCTTGATTTTGAATTTAGTGAGGAATTTCTATGACATTTACGTGATCCTTGTCCGAGAAGTTAAAATTCAAGCCGCAAGGGCGAAGAAAAGTTCATCGTACGTAAATGGCAACAGTTACGACAAAGATAAACCCCGTAAAATATTAACGAATAATGAACTTGCGTGTAAATGTATTTCCGAAAACAAGCCGGTGTGGTTAGATCTAATCAAGAATGTCTGTGATATTGTTCTACCATTGAATTCTTTAGGTCGTATTCACGTTACGCCAGGTACGCAGGGAGTTGTAGGTGTCATATCTTCCATTGTTGGCATAGCAACCACCTGGGATCCTTTATTACGATTAGTGCCTTCATAAAAACATTGTGCAAAAGTTACAGATGTGTAAAATATTTGTGACATGCAGCCATATTTGTGACATGTAGCCATATTTGAGACATGTAGCCAAAATCGAGACATGTAGCCATATTTGTGACATATGGTCATATTTGTGACATATGGTCATATCTGTGACATGTAGTCATATTTGTAACATGTAGCCATATCTGTGACATATGGCTATATTTTTGACATGTGGCCATGCTTGTGACATATGGCCATATTTATGACATACATTCATAATTGTGACACAGTCAAAATTGTGACACAGTCAAAATTGTGACGTATAGTCATAATGGGAGGCTTACATTTTTATATCCTCACAAAAAAAAATAATTGAGTTGCTTAACAACTGAACTTTTTAACAAATTATATAGTATTTGCTATGGCTGGATTATCTACTTGTTATCTATTTGTTTTCTATGATTTATTGTTGAATTATAAATTAATTATATTGTACATGCATAAGCTTATATATAACTTAAAATTATTTTAATTAAACATATGGTACATTATTGTATTTGTTTGAAAAGAGAGAGAGAGAAATTGAGTTTAATGTCCACTCAACCTAAGCTAGGTAATTTCGGAACTAACATATGGTTAAATTTTATTTCAATAATTCGCTTGTGCGTAGGGGTCTTTAGCAGTGGGAGGAAACCAGAAGACCCGTAGAAAACCCACAAGGTTGGACAGTCAACCAAACTCCTTGTCACGTACAAGCATGGAATCAAAACCACGCCAGTTGACTCAATGACAGACCTTATTATCTAACAATCATGCGTTAAACCATTCGGCCACCCATCCCACCCTTGTTTGAAAAGACATGGTTTCGAATCCCCGGTTGTACGTGACAAGGAGTAGGTTTGCCTGTCCAACCTCGTGGGTTTTCTCCGGGTCCTCCGGTTTCCTCCCACTGCTAAAGACCACTGTTAAAAACCATATGTTAGTCCCCAAATGACCTAGTTTGTGTCGAGTGGACGTTAAACCCCATTTCTCTCTCTCTCTCCATTTGAAAAGAGGATGTTGTGGGTGTATGTTTCATTCCCTAGCAACGTAAAATGAAATGGGATTTAACCTCCTACTGTGTTGCTCCTATTCTGGGCTAATTAAGATGGGCATACGCCATACAGTGTGCTATGAGAGAAATTTTGATAAGAGAGCGGCGCTATGACCTCTTATATCGAATTTCTCAGTTTTTCATCCCATCAAAAATTACACGTTGTCCCCGACTCTCTGGTCTGTACCACTGACAAGGAGAAACCATATCAGAACCTCCTGATGAACTTTCTCGACTAACACTAGATTCGAACATGGGACCTCCAGAGAGCCAACATTTTACACAATAATCTTTTAGAGGCATTTAGTAACTGGACAGAGCAAAAAACTATAACACATACTTTTGGAAGAACAATTACTAATTTATTTAATTGACGTTTCGAAGAGTATTTTCTCAACATTTTCAAGCAAGTACTCAATTTTACTCAATGCGCCACACCTAGCAACCTATCTTTGTTATGGTTGTAGATGATTGAATGATAGCCTGTGTCAATTAATGAAGTTACCGAAATCCTGGGATTTAAAATTGTTATATCCTCGATTAATTTATTATAACGCTAGCTTAGATAAAATATTAATAAACTATTTTTAACAAGATTATATCATTGTTGTGTCAAAAACAAATACTCCAGAAAGAAGCCTTTAATTGGTTGAACGTCCATTCAACACAACCTAGGTCATTTCGGGACTAACATGGTTCCATTTTTTTATTTCAATAATTTGCTTGCACGCAGGGGTCTTTAGCAGTGGAAGGAAACCGGAGGACCTGGCGAAAACCCACAGGGTTGTATCACTGATAAAGAGAGAGAGAGAGAAGTGGGGTTTAACGTCCACTTGACACAAACTAGGTTTAATTTTATTTCAATAATTTGCTTGCGTGTAGGGGTCTTTAGCAGTGGGAAGAAACCGGAGGACAGGCGACCCTACTCCTTGTCACGTTCAACCGGGGAATCAAAACCACGCCAGTTCACTCAATTAATTCCCCCCCCCCCCCACTGATAAAAAGAATTCCGAATAGTACCAATATCTGTTAAGATGATGGGGGAGTTAAGCAGTCAGAGCAAGAAGCTTTTGACTGGGATGTCCCAACTGAATGTAGCATATTGTCCAAAATCTGTCATTGACTGTATGAATAATTTTATAATTTGTATTCATATAAAGAGCCCCAGGGAAGAACGATCTAAGTCACTTTTTCAACGAACCCCAGTTAATGGTGCCATCTGGTAGCAAATTGTATAAGCTTTCTGAGGAACAATCAATTTCAGGTAAAAACGATCAGAGTCCCTTCGAACCAAGGACCTTCTGTAATGGTCAACTGGACAATTACGTCCATCGTACCCTTTATTTGACCTTAATTTGGCTGAAAAGTGGGAGTCAGTTGTTGTACTGGTAATTATGATTCGTATTAAACATCATTTTGAAGTTGTAATTAAACCCACACGTTGTTCTGTTCGCGTCAAGCATTCTCGTCCAAAAGACTGTTTTGCCGGGGGGTGGGTGGATGGCCGAATGGTTAGCACATACGTGCTGTATCATAAGACCTGTCATTGAGTCAACTGGCGTGGTTTCGTATCCCCGGTTGTACGTGACAAGGAGTAGGGTCGCCTGTCCAACCTCGTGGGTTTTCCCCGGGTCCTCCGGTTTCCTCCCACTGCTAAAGACTCCTACGCGCAAGCGAATTGTTGAAATAAAATTAAGCCATATGTTAGTCCCGAAATGACCTAGTTTGTGTCGAGTGGACGTTAAACCCCATTTCTCTCTCTCTGTTTTGCCTTTTATGCGAAAAGACAAAAATGTGATCGTTTATCCCCTGAACCTGGACTCTTCATATGTCTCATTGTAAGATCTGAATGAAGATTAAATTATTTTAATCCTAATCCTGGAATTCAGTACATATTTACATTTATGATCATACAATTCCCTTTTGGTCACTGTGATTTCCAGTTTAGGAAATGAGAAAGAGAGAGAGAGATGGGGTGTAGTCCAATCGCACAACCTAGGTCATTTCGCGAATAACATATGGATCAATTTTATTTCAATAATTCACTTGTGAGTAGGGGTCTTAAGCAGTGGGAAGAAATCAAAGGACCCTGAGAAAACCCACCAGGTTGAATAGACTTGTCATGTACAACAGGAGAATCAAAACCATGCCAGTTGACTCAATGCAGACCCTGTGACACGTGCTAACCATTAGGGCATCCCCCCCCCCCTTAGGAAATGAGACCATGGAATATTTAGTTGAATATGTAACATTTGTTTGCAGTAACAATGTACCAGTTTATGAATTATCTCTCTTGAAATAAAATGGGGTTTAACATCCTACTGTTTTGCTCCGACTGGGCTAAGGAAGACAGGCATATGCCATACAGTGTGCTATGAGGGAATTTTTTGTCTACTCTTATGGCCTACTCCTATATCGAATTCCAACTGCCAAGGGACTAACATATGGTTCAATTTTATTTCAATAATTCGCTTGCGCATAGGGGTCTTTAGCAGTGGGAGGAAACCAGAAGACCCGGAGAAAACCCACACGGTTGGAAAGGGTACCCTACTCCTTGTCACGTACAACAGGAGAATCGAAACCATGCCAGTTGACTCAATGACAGACCTTATCATACAAAGCGCTAACCATTCGGCCATCCAACCCCCGCAAGATTTTTCAGTAAAAAATGAAGCAAAATAACAAAGCAAACAAATTTATTCTACATTATAAAATAATGGTTATATCTCCCCCGTCCCTTGTCTATAAAAAATCAAAACTTCATCACGTCTTCTGCCTTTCTACTTTCCGTAGCTGATTTTTTCTACGTAACGTCATCGTTCTCAACCTTTTCCAGTAATGTTCTGAATCGGGATCCAACTCTGAGAGACTGGGAGGCGTGCGACTGATTCGTAAATTCCACAACCAATCAGGATATTCACTGTCCGGTTTTATATCTGGATCTTCACCATCTATATAAATATTGGCACCACAACATTTTGTTACTAACTTCTTGGGATCGGTTTCTGTTTCTAACACTACCTTGGCAGCAGGCTGACCAATCTTTCCTAAAAAATAAATTGTATTTATGTGACAAAGTGCTTAAAGATACATTATGTAAGATTTAGATAAAGAGCTGACCATTCTTGCTATAATAGTTCGAAAATAGATAATGTAAAATGAATAATTTGAAAATTTCATTCAAATTACTCTATTGCGAGCGAAGATATTAGCCTTTGATGGTTGACAAGGCGTGTGTAATAATTTCAACCACCGTACTGGTTGTTCGAAGCTAAGCCTCGCTCCTCCATTTTTAGATTAAATCAAAATATGGCTGAACTGCTCTAATCTATTTAATATCCGAGAAATCCAATGCCATCGAGAGTTGATTATGGCCTGGATCAGTTAATTAATGTCTAATTAATAATGTAAAATGAATAATTTGAAAATTTCATTCAAATTACTCTATTGAGAGCGAATTCGAAGCTACGTCTCGCTCCTCCGTTTTTAGATTAAATCAAAATATGGGTGAAGCGATCTAATCTATTTAATATCCGAGAAATCTGATGCCATCAAGAGTTGATTATGGCCTGGATTAGTTAATTAATGTCTAATTAATAATGTAAAATGAATAATTTGAAAATTTCATTCAAATTACTCTATTGCGAGCGAATTCGAAGCTAAGTCTCGCTCCTCCGTTTTTAGATTAAATCAAAATATGGGTGAAGCGATCTAATCTATTTAATATCCGAGAAATCTGATGCCATCAAGAGTTGATTATGGCCTGGATTAGTTAATTAATGTCTAATTAATAATTTAGAAAACATTTCAGGCATAAGAAAGACCTGTAATAGGCAGATTTAGCTCTTGCATAATGTATGCTTAATTTTCTATTTATAAAATACGAACTATTATTTAGATTCTGTGATAAATAGATAATGTTGACTTTTCAACTCTATACACTCGACTCAAACTAGGTCATTTTGGGCCTAACATATGGTTCAATTATATTTCAATAATTTGCTTGGGCTGGACAGGCGACCCTCCTCCTTGTCACGTACAAGTGGGAAATCAAAACCACGCCACTTGACTCCATGACAGACCTTATGATTTTAGAACTATCAAAAAAAAGTGTAAAGTTTAGGGAATATATGTTTCTATCATATACATTGCATCAGAAACATTCGCCACCTGATAACGACTGATGCTGCTAAAACACTAGTTCAGACGCTAATACTGTTCCGTATTGATTATGCAAACAGTCTGCTCTTCGGACTCAACCAACGTCTTACAAATAAGTTAAAGAGAATCCTGAACATCGCTGCCAGGATTGTAACAAGAACTTCAAAATATTCATCTATAACTTCTGTGTTAAAGTCTCTTCACTGGTTGCCTGTCAAACCTAGGGTGGCCCATGTACTCACAGAAATACAGTCCACCGCTGATAGTTCGAGACTACCACTGAAGCGTGCACATTCGCCGTGCCGAGACCAACTTTCTGACAGTATGATACTATAAATAGCCATGGCACATGCAATTCTCTACAAAATCTATCAACTATTACAGCCGTAAAAAATTTATTGTTGACGATTTTGAATAGCAGTAAAATTAAGCTTCTTGGTTATTACAGCAGATTTAGAAATTACTTTCGTTTCATTTTTTAAATCGCTTTATCATTAACTGTACCGTTAAGAGCGGCATCTTTTGGTTTAGTACAAATAATATCTCTGAAACACTCAGGTTAGGCAAGAACATGATACTAGCAGTAGTTTCATTTTACTTTTACAAGATTCTTAAAACGATTGTTGAGCTACCTAACGTGCTTATTTCTAAATTCAATTTCTTGTTCTAGCTTTCTGTTATGTTTCGTAAAAAAGTAGTCTTGATTATCCCGACCTGTCAATCAGACGTAGAATGGTCGATAGACTGGTTAAGCGAGACTAATTTCAAAACAAGGGCACGTAACCTATCTTTTACTCAAAAGTGTCTGGATGTTATGGACGACTCTTGGAACCAGTTTTCAGTCTATTATTTATACGTGATTAATGGCCATAGCTTATTAAGTACAACATGATCGTTTATTTAGTGACTATAATTGTGTGAAACTGATTTGAGGCTTGGCATATATATAAGTATTGTGGCGTAATTGTCGAGATATATGGAGATATTTATTTATGGTGGGTCACCCTATCAAACCCCGAATTCAGTATAAAGTTCTGTCATTAGTGTATCAATGTCAAAATAACCTTGCTCCCTTATATTTGTCTGAACTTTTGACAAACTATAAACCCAAACGTGCGCTAAGGTCGCATGGCAAAAATATACTTGCTGTTCCCAAAACAAAACTAAAACAATTTGGTGATAAAAGTTTCAGTGCTGCTGCACCTCGCCTTTGGAATCAGTTACCAGTAAACATTAAAGAATCTCAGACTTTCACAAACTTTAAGTCACAACTAAAAACTAATTTGTTTAAACTCTATTATCCAGATTAGAAACAGATTGTTTATGTGTGTTTTTAATGGCGAGAGACTCTTTAAATGTTGCACTTTGAGCATGCGTATATGGATGGATTATTAAGCGCATTACAAATATACATTATTATTAATATCAATCATCTATACATACAAAAAGAAATAAAAAATCATAAAAAATGTGTTGTTTTATTCAAAACACAGGTTGTTTTGGGTAATTAAAGTTTTTTTGAGTTGGTTTGGGTGATACAGTGATGGACCTAGAAATGGTTCCACTACTGATGTTCTCCGCCTTACTCCAGCCACAGTAGTGGCTTGCCCTACAGAGTTCCATTGCACAAGTTTTTTAGTCAAATGACTACTAAAAGGTTACTGGTCTATAGCTCCCTTAATTTACACATAAACTGACCCAAAACTGTACTGCACATAGCTTAACATACAATAAACCAATTCCTATTGAAATAAAGGTGAAGCCTTACTGCATAATTATATGATATGAAACCCAGCTGCTACGCGAAATTTCTCGACTACCTAACTTATTTCAATTGGCCGGTGTCATGGCGGCTTTCACATTATAAGAAACTTCGCTTTGAAAATGTAGAACGCATTACCACAAAGAAAAGCTCTTCGGTAACTATTTTAGTCATCCAGTCTTCTCTATTTGTTATAGAATTACTTATTTCAATACAAACTGTAATGATATGTGTTGACAATTGTGCATTTCAACCTATTTAAACGTTGCAGTTAATAAACCCAGTGAATGTTATCCATAAAGTTGTCATTTTATTATATATCCCGTTTATTAAATGCCCTTCAAAGATACTATTTAAACTTGTGTAAGGAGTCTTAGATTGTATCAATTGTAGCTGGGAAGCCACGGTGGCTAGGTTGTTAAGACGCTGGCTCGCTAGCCTGGAGGTCGGGTGTTCGATCCCTGTATTGGCCGAGAAAGTTTATCCTGATTTTCCGACGTGGTTTCCCCTTGTCAGTGGTGCAGAACGGAGGGCCTGACAAGGACAGCTGTCTCGTCCTTCGGAGGAGACGAAAAACCGAGGTCCCGTGTATACATTGGAATGCACGTAAAAGATCCCTTGGCAGTTGGAATTCGATATAAGAGTAGGCGATAAACTAGTGCCGCTGCCCAGGCAAAATTTCCCTCATAGCACACTGTATGGCGTATGCCTGTCTTCATTAGCCCAGTATAGGAGCAGAACAGTAGGGCGTTAAACCCCGTTTCATTTCATTTCTAATTGTAGCTATGATGATGGAGTGGACATAGTTACTATACTTGTAACGTTAAACTGTGTGTTTAACATTACAATTGATACAGTCTAAGAATCCTTACGCAAGTTCAAATAGGTTCAAACGCACAATTGTCAACACATATCATTACAGTTTGTATTGGAATAAGTAATTCTATGACAAATAGTGAAGACTGGACCACTAAACAGTTACCGAACAGTTTTTCTTTGTGGTTATGCGTTCTACATTTGCATAGCGATGTTTCTTGTAATGACGTATTACACACAAGCCGCCATGGCGGCCATGACACCAGCATGTTGAAATTTCGCGTAGCAGTTGAGTTTCATCAAATCATATAATTATGCAGTAAGGCTTCACCTTTATTTCAATAGGAATTGAGTTATTATATGTTAAGCTAGCTGGTGCAGTACTGTTTTGGGTCAGTTTATGTGTAAATTAAGGGAGGTATAGGCCAGTAACCTTTTTGTAGTGATTTCACTAAAAAAAACTTGCGCAAAGGAACTCTGTAGGATGAGCCACTACTGTGGCTGGAGTAAGGCGGTAGACATCAGTAGTGGAACCATTTCTAGAGTGGACAGGTTTCAAAGAGTTGGCCTCAAATGCTCCCTATTGGTGCAGAAAAGGCGTAAAACCCCATTTCATTTCCATTTAAAAATATGAAAAACAAATACCTGCAGCCTTCGCTGGCTTGGCGTAAGATGCATTTGATGTGTGATAACTGTTAGACAAAATAATTCGAGAACATCGTCTGATATTTAGCTTGCACAAATTTCGAGCTGCCATATTTCTCTAGCAGACTTACAAAAAATTAAGATTGCCGTATTTTTAAAACGGAACGAAAGAAAGAATATTTAATGTTTTGAAAATGTGATTAAATACAACAGAAACATGTAACGAATTTTAAAGCATGCTTTGTTTTCGTTTGTATCATAAAAGTAGTCACAAATATGATTATTATGTCAAAATCAATTAAAGCAAATATTTTCGTTTCAAATATGCTATAAAACTAAATTGTGAATTTGGAATTTTCAAGATGTCTGCGCCCACAAAGTAAACAACATGTTTCCCAGATTTCGGACTGCATGTAGTTAATTTTTGATTATATGTCATTGTTTCAACATGTCAGAGAAAAGTGTAGTTGTAAGAATTATACGCGCAGTACGTTGATCCGGTTACTCTAGGGTTAGGGTTAGTAGTAGGGTTAGTAGTACAAATCTTGTGAAATCGTGTGGAAGTCAAAAGTGACCGGGTCAACGTTCTGAAAGCCAGTCAAGTTGTCCACAAGCAAAGTCGTCCGCACGAAAAATCTGGTTAAGTCGTCCACACCCGTTGGTGGAGTCGTCCACATCAAAGAATTTCTGTAGGCTTATTATGCACTATGCTTACAATTATATTGTTGTTAATTTTTTTAAAAAAAGGCTTAATTTTTCAGATCAAGGCCTGGATTTAAAAATGATCAAAAACCAGTCAACCACAGCACAAATTGAAAGTTCAGTTAAACTGACAAAACACCATTTTATTTTTTCGTTCTGATATCCAAAGACTACGTTACATCGATTGATCGAGTGTTCGATCCCTGCATTGGCCGTCTAGTCGTTCAGATGGGACGAAAAACTGAGGCCCCGTGTACACATTGGTGTGCACGTAAAAGATCCCTTGACAGTTGGAATTCGATATAAGAGTAGGCCGTAGTGCCGCTGTCCAGGCAAAATTTACTGCATGGCACACTGTATGGCGTATGCCCGTCTTCATTAGCCCAGTTCGGAGCAGAACAGTAGGACGTTAAACCCCATTTCATTTCATACATAATTGATCGCGTGACATGTCAGATACTCAGACTATGGTAAATTGCCTATGGAAAGAGTCAAATGCCATACATACATTTAGTATATAATACTCACAATATTGCTGAAATGGCAATCTCTAGGCCTATAGTAAATTTGTAGACTGAAATATTTGTGAACCATCTATCATTTTCAAATTTATATTTCAGGACTGTTGTACATTTTTGTAGCCATATGCATTAATTGCACTGAAATATGGCAGAATGTATTGAATCTGAAACATCAAACAGAATCCCTGTCGTCTTTAAACCTTCCTCAACAAATGACCGAGGTTCACAGAAATGTAAACTGAGTCCGTCAGTTATAAAATCCCTGAACTGTGAAATAGCATCGTTTGTGAGAATTTCATTCCCAAATAAATCTGTGATTTGCTGTGCTTGGCCGTCCGATGCTGAGAATAGTACATCAGATGTTTTTTGCGATGATACGGTATGCGAGATTCAGGTAGAAAGCAAAAATAAGACAACTCATAGTATTGTTTCGTTGAAATGCTCTAAAGCTAACACTGTATCTGTAACTGTTATAGTCAAAGACTACAAACAATTTCATTCGTGGAAAACCTTTTCAAGCATCTCCGCAAATCTAGAAAATAAATGTTACAAATGTTTACGAAATATATGCATAACGAAAAGTTGCTTTATAAACTTAAAATGTTCAAAATTGGCAAGTTTGTTTGGTATAAATTCTGTTATAGTCAATGGTTTCAGCACGGAATCTGATAGTGATGCGGGTTTGATTCATGGTAAAACTAAGATAAAAATAGACAATGTTTTAAGCGAAAATAGATACAAGAGTACCCAAAGAAGGAAGCCATCTTGTTTAGGAGGGATGAGTGAAGTGATTAGTCAACTGCTTGATTTGATTTATCTCCCCTTACTTAATCCAGACAGTTTTAAACAGCTTCGAATTTCACACACTCAAGGAATTCTGTTACGAGGACCTCCAGGATGTGGCAAGACCTCTTTAGTTAAAGTTATAGCTTATGAGTGCGGTGCTGCTCTTTTGACAATAAATGGTCCAGACCTGCTGGGTTCTAGACCGGGAGAAACGGAAGATAATTTGAAGAACACGTTCGCTAAAGCTAAAGATTTGAGTTTAGAGGGTCCGTGTATTCTGTTTTTTGATGAAATAGATACGGTTTGTCCGAAACGGAATAATTCCAGTAATTCTCAGGATTCCAGAGTGACGAGTGCCATGATGTCATGCATGGATGAATTGGATGAAAATGAATCTTTAATTGTGATTGGTGCTACAAATAGACCATCTGCTATTGATCTAGCTTTACGCCGTCCAGGGAGATTCGAACGAGAGGTTCGTATAAGCAGGTTTGGTAAATATGAAATGAAATGGGGGTTTAACGTCCTACTCTTCTGCACCAACTGGGCTAATGAAGACGGGGCATACACCATACAGTGTGCTATGAGGGAAATTTTACCCAGGCAGTGGCACTACGGCCTACTCTTATTATATCATAGCGATTGGAAACATTACAGAACTAGCAATCAGTGATTTATTATACACATAAAGTTTTGATAAGTATTCTCTTATCGTTAATTAATTAATTAGTTAAACATGATTAGAAAGGTTCATAAATTTAATATAAGTTTAACATAACATAAATTATGTTCAAAAACTTTTTAATTTTCACTTTTCTCATATTGATTATTGTTTATAAATTAAATATTATTGTTTTTTTGCAGATTTTAATAAATGTTCCGACTAAACCGCAACGGCTGGACATTTTATCTACCATTACAAAGCACCTGGTAACATGTGACTTGAACCTTGACCTTATTGCTGATTTAACCAATGGTTTTGTTGGAGCCGATTTAACATCGTTATGTAATGAAGCTGTTTATAGCGCCATGACACGTAGGAATGATAACCAGGTATTACCTTTGTTCAAATTTAGGGGGGGGGTGGCTGGCGCGCTAGCCTGGAGGTCGGGTGTTCGATCCCTGCATTGGCCGAGAAAGTTCATCCAGATTTTCTGGTGTGCTTCCCCCTTGTCAGTGATGCAGGATGGTGGGCCTGACAAGGACAGCTGTCTAGTCATTCGGATGAGACGAAAAACCGAGGTCCCGTGTATACATTAGAATGCACGTAAAAGATCCCTTGGCAGTTGGAATTCGATATAAGAGTAGGCGATAGTGCTGCTGCCCAGGCAAAATTTCCCTCATAGCACACTGTATGGCGTATGCCCGTCTTCATTAGCCCAGTATAGGAGCAGAACAGTAGGACGTTAAACCCCATTTCATTTCATTTCATTTCAGGGGTCAATGGCCGATTGGTTAGCGTGTGCGCATTGTACATGTATAATAATGACTGTCATTCGGTCAACTGGCATGGTTTCGATTCCCTGTTTTTCTGTGGGTCCTCCGGTTTCCTCCCACTGCTAAAGACCCCTACACGGAAGCGAATTATTGAAATAAAATTGAACCATAGGTTAGTCCCAGAATGACCTAGTTTGTGTCGAGTGAACGTTAAACCCCATTTCTCTGTCTCTCATTATCCTGGTTGATGCAGAAAAGTACAACATATTTCAGTGAGCAATGTGTTGTTCTGCTTATTATAGATAAGTGTTATAGAAATGTTGTTCTGTTTATTATAGATAAGTGTTATAGAAATGTTGTTCTGTTTATTGTAGATAAGTGCTGTTGAAATGTTGTTCTGTTTATTATAGATAAGTGTTATAGAAATGTTGTTCTGTTTATTGTAGATAAGTGCTATTGAAATGTTGTTTTGTTTATTGTAGATAAGTGTTATTGAAATGTTGTTTTGTTTATTGTGGATAAGTTCTATAGAAATGTTGTTCTGTTTATTGTAGATAAGTGCTGTTGAAATGTTGTTCTGTTTATTGTAGATAAGTGTTATTGAAATGTTGTTCTGTTTATAGATTAATTCTATAGAAATGTTATTCTGTTTATCGTAGATTAGTGCTGTTGAAATGCAAGATTTCTATTGTGCTATAAAGAAGGTGATACCAAGTTTACAGAAAGGTGTAGAAGGTGTTGTAGATATTAAACAGGTTGACTGGCAGGATATTGGTGGATTACATGATGTTAAACAACAAATAAAACAGGTTTATTTCACTCTACATTTCTCTCCTGGTTCAATGTGCAATAAAGAGCTTCATCACCCAATAACACATTCTTCAGTAGATATCGCTTGTTTGATAACTTTCATAATCTACTAAGCAATATGGGGATTAGATGGTCGAATGGTTAGCGCGTGCGTGTTATATCATAAGGTCTGTCATTGAGTCAACTGGCGTGATTTCGATTCCCCTGTTGCACATGACAAGGAGTACTGTCACCTGTCCAACCTCGTGATTTTTTTCTGGGTCCTCTGGTTTCCTCGCACTGCTAAAGACCCCTACGAGCAAGCGAATTATTGAAATAAAATTGAACCATATGTTAGTCGTGAAATGATGTAGTTTGTGTCGAGTGCATGTTAAACCCCATCTCTCTCTCTCTCTCTCTCTCTCTCTCTCTCTCTTTTTTGATAGGGGATTCTCTAAAAGGTCTCTGGTTTGAATCTTGGTGTAATCCGCGAAGATCCTTTGTGAGATCTTCACAGATTACACCAAGATTCAAACCTGGTTGTCACAGGAATGGTGCTTGCAGGACAAGTAAAGCATGCCTCATCGTTTTGATGGTAAAAACAAACAAGGCCCATCTGTATACAAAATTCAAATAAGAGTGGTTGGAAATACCACAATATCTGAAGAATTCTGTCCATTGAAATGAAAATTCGATATGGATGTAACCATAGAAATAACAATTACGATCTTGACAAGACAAGACCTTAAACAAGTCTGTACATTAGCCACCTAGGCCTGTCACAGATACAATGTATATGTTATAATAAAAAAAACGCCGGTCATTAAAAAAAAAAACCACCGCTAAAGACCCCTACGCGCAAGCGAATTATTGAAATAAAATTGAACAATATATAAGTCCCGAAATTACCTAGTTTGTGTCAAGTGGACTTTTCTCTCCTTTTAAGATGTGATAAATAGCATGTACAAGTTCTATTTTATTTTCAGGCTGTAGAATGGCCGATGTTACATCCAGAGGTATTTAAACGATTTGGTTTACCTGTATCTAAAGGTGTATTATTATACGGCCCACCTGGTTGTTGTAAAACTACATTAGTCAGAGCTGCTGCTACAGCAACACGTACAACCTTCCTGTCACTAAACGGTGCTCAGTTATTCTCACCTTTTGTAGGAGAATCAGAGAGAATAGTAACAGAGGTACGCCCATATTAACAATATTATAAATAAACATTGACAAGGCTTAGTTTTAGGCAAATTTGGTATAAAGATTTTTAAATCGCTCCAAATATAGTTTAAGAACCGTTTGTAGGAGAATCAGAGATAATAGTAACAGAGGTACGCCAATATTAACAATATTATAAATAAACATTGACAAGGCTTAGTTTTAGGCAAATTTGGTATAAAGATTTTTAAATCGCTCCAAATATAGTTTAAGAACCGTTTGTAGGAGAATCAGAGATAATAGTAACAGAGGTACGCCAATATTAACAATATTATAAATAAACCTTTACAAGGCTTAGTTTTAGGCAAAGATTTTTAAATCATTTGTAGGAGAATCACTCATATTAACAATTTTATAAATAAAAATGGTACCTGTATGATAAATACATATTATGGATATAATGAAATTTGTGTATTTTTATCCAATCAGAAGCTTAGTAGAAATATGGTTCGGAATAGTGACGCTATGTAGTTAGATTGAAAAAAACTAGATCGCGGAGACGCTCTTGCATATATGACGTCATATGTGGATTGTGCGTTGGGGTTAGGGTAAGGGTTAGGCTTGATCCAGGGTTAGGGTTAGCACTAGCCCTAGAAACTTTGACGAAATCTGCAGGTTCTAACCCACAATCCACATATAACGTCATATGTGCTCAAATGTGCAGGATCGTCTCCAATCTAGTGTTCTCCATTCCTATCATGATAATATGCTGTACATTAGAGCAGTGGTTCTCAACCTTTTTTTGGCAACGGCACACCTTGGAACACATGAAAAATTAGCGGCACACCTGGCTAAATATATATAAAAAAATATTTGAACTTGGCAAAATTAATATATGACATGTCATAGACGGCATACAACCGTAGACACAGACTAGTCATAGAAACATAGAATGACTCAAGCTAAATCTAAGAAAAACACAGCTATGAAGTTACCAGTAGACACCAGTGAATTCTCAACTGGAATCAAGTGGCTTTTCGTGTTTTCTTAGTGTGCTGTTCAAAATTTCGCGGCAAACTTAGGAAGATCTTTCGGCACACCAGTTGAGAATCACTGCATTAGAGCATGCAAACGTTGGGAGGAATGGGATTAATTATTTAGAATTAGCGTTGCTTTGTGTACACATCGTAATTTCTGCATAGGTAAGATTTGTTATAACGATTATTTTGTTCTGCATGTTGGGGAGCCACGGTGGCTTAGTGAGTAAGACACTGGCTCACTAGCATAGAGATCGTAGGTTCAATTTCGGTGTTGGCAGAGAAAGTTCATCAGGGTTTTCCAACGTGGTTTCCCCTTATCAGTGGTGCAGGACGGAAGGCCTGACAAGGACAGCTGTCTAGTTGTTCGGATGGGATAAAAAAACGAGCTCCTGTGTACACATTGGCGTGCACGTAAAAACTCCCTTGGCAGTTGGAATTTGATATAAGAGTAGGCCATAGGCTCGCTGTCTGGGTAAAATTTCCTTATAGCACACTGTATGGTGTATGCCCATCTTCATTAGCCTAGTCGGAGCAGAACAGTAGGACGTTAAACCCCATTTTATATCATTTCTGTTCTGCATGTTTTTATTGGTAATTTGAATATACAAATTTCAGACGTTCCAGAAAGCGAGAACCCTGGCGCCATCTATATTATTTCTAGACGAGATTGATTCTATAGTCGGTAAGAGATCAGAAGGAGGTTCACATCGCGGCGTACAGGAACGACTTTTATCTACGTTATTGAACGAGATGGATGGTATCGGTATACGTCTGGATGATAAAGTCACAGGATCTAGTACAGAGGAAGCAGAAGGAGTAATGCCAGGACAAACACAGGTTATTCATTTTATGATTATTATTAAAACATGGTTGAATTTTTCGTAGGTTGATTGCTCGAGCCAGGGGTTTAAATAGCTCTATTCTTTGGGTGGGGGGGGGGAAGGCCGAATGGTAACACGCGCGCGCTGTATCATACTGTGTGTCATTGAATCAACTGGCGGGGTTTTGAGTCCCTGGTTGTACATGACAAGGAGTAGGTCGGTTTCCTCCCACTGCTAAAGACCCCTACACGAACCGAATTATTGAAATAAAATTGAACCGTGTGTTAGTCCCGAAATGACCTAGTTTGTATCGAGTGGACGTTAAACCCTGTTTCTGTCCCTCTATCTCTATTCTTTGGAATCCTAAAATAGACAAAATGGGTGTAAAAGCACACATTAATGTAATATGAGTGTATATAGAGTGATTTCAAATCTATTATGTTCAGAGAAATATGCGAACGATCCAAATTTAACGGCAGTCATTTGTGTCTGCTTAATCTTTTCTATATGAAGAGTCCGGGGGAAGAACGATCTAGTCTAAGTCACATTTTTGTCTTTTCGCATAAAAGGCAAAACAGACTTTTAGACGAGAATGCTTGACGCGAACGGAACAACGAGTGGGTTTAATTACAACTTCAAAATGATGTTTAATAAAAAATAATTACCAGTACAACAACTGACTTCCAGTTTTCAGCCAAATTAAGGTCAAATAAAGGGTACGATGAACGTATTTGTCCGGGAGGCCATTTCAGAAGGGCCTTGGTTCAATGTGACTCCGATCGTTTTTACCTGAAATTGATTGTTCCACATAAAGCTTATACAATTTGCTACCAGATGGCGCCATTAACTGGGGTTCGTTGAAAAAGTGACTTAGATCCTTCTTCCCAGGGGCTCTTCAAATGTTTTTGTTCTTTTTGACCACTTTTAGTTTCTAGGAAATACATTTTTAAAGATAAATATGTTAATGGTATCATTAAACTTAGTGGTACTTTAAATTGATTTCAAGCAAGTCCTGATATTAACAATGATCAGACCACTCTGGAAATTTAACCACTAAACAAAATGTATTATTATAATGTTTATTATATATTCCTATATTCGATTTTCAGATACCAGAAATGTGAGATACTGTTGTTGTAACAAAGTACTCTATAACTTTCATCAAATTGAATGGTCATTTAGGTGCTTAGAACTTTATGACCTCAGCTGATTTTTGATAATATATGATATTGACTTTTCAACTCTCTATATACTTCTGTTAAGGCACGAACTGACTATGATCTAATTAAACATGTAATTAATCCCATATGTCATTTACAAACTACATATGATCTGTGTACACGTTCCGCTTTACTTTAAAGGATATACATACTGGTCAGTAAGGATGTTATGACAAGATAAAAGAGACAATTGCATGTATGACCATGTGTCCGAACCGAATGTATATAACGAGGAGTTTGCTGACAGTTAGGTAGTCGACTAAAGAGGACCACAGATGGGCGGAGAAGAGAGGCTTGGACAAGTGCATGGACTCACCTGATGTCAGCTGCTGCCTTGGAATAGGAGCAGAATGGTGGATTTAATATATTTATATGTGTTCCAATGTAGTTTAGTTCCAGTATAGTCTAGTTTCTGTAGTATTGATGTAGTAATGTTATATTTTCTATGTAAATAAACGATATATTTACGAAACTGATCTCTGTTATACTAAGATAGTGTTACATTGTATCTTTTAAGGTTAAGGAGAATCGTAAATCAGATGTAGACAATAGTCGAGTACTTGTTGTTGCTGCTACAAACCGTCCTGATTTAGTTGATGCAGCCTTGTTACGTCCTGGAAGACTGGATAGAATTGTCTATGTTCCCCATCCAGATTATCAGGTATTGTTTTTTGCTAATAATTAAGGAGAATATTGAAAGGGGATTAAAGTCTCATCAACACAATACCTTGGTTATTTTGAGACTAACAAAATGCAAGGCTATTTTGCCAGGAACAGGGGGGTGTTACTTGGTCGAACCTAATGGGTTTTCTCCGAGTCCTCCGGTTTCCTGCTAAAGACCCCTATGTGCAAGGGAATTATTGAAATAAAAAAATTTAATCATATGTTAGTCTCAAAATGACCTCTCTGTCTCTCTTGTTTATAGCAATGTATGATTATATAGTTGTCGCCCCCGTCCGTCCGATAATATCCGATTGACTTTAAATTTATACTCAGTGTTTAAAGTCATGAGACGAAGAAGCCTATTGATTTTCATTGATTTTTGATAATTACTGCCAGAGTTATGGCCCTTGATCACTTCAACAGTTCTTGTGGACGCTCTAGAGGTCAAAGTTAATATCCGATTTACTTTAAATTTATACACAGTGTTTAAGGTCATGAGACGAAGAAGCCTAATGATTACAGCGATTTCCGATAACTACTGCCAGAATTATGGCCCTTGATCACTTTGAAAAATCTTGTGGACACTCGAGAGGCTAAAGTTAATATCCAATTGACTTTAAATTGATACACAGTGTTTAAGGTCATGAGACGAAGAATCCTATTGGTTCTCAGCGATTTCCGATAATTTTTGCCAGAGTTATGGCCCTTGATCACTTTGAAAAAACTTGTCGACGCTCTAGAGGCTATAGTTCATATCCGATTGACTTTAAATTTATACACAGTGTTTAAGGTCATGAGATGAAGACGCCTATTGATTTCCGATAATTACTGCCAAAGTTATGGCCCTTGATCACTGATAAATCTTGTGAACGCTCTAGAGGCTAAAGTTAATATCCGATTGACTTTAAATTTATACACAGTGTTTGAGGCCATGAGTTAAAGAATCATATTGATTTTCAACGATTTCGAATAATTGCTGCCAAAGTTATGGCCCTTGATCACTTTGAAAAATCTTGTGATGCTCTAGAGGCTTAAGTTATCATCCGATTGACTTCAGATTGATACACAGAGTTTAAGGTCTTGAGACGAACAAGTATATTGATTTTCAATGAATCTTTATGACTTGAACAGCTAAATCCATGATGTTAAAAGTTTCGTATACTAAACGTTAGCATGGGTCCGAACCAGTGATGGGATTTTACCCGTATATTCCGGACTTGTCCGAATCTTTTTTCGAAACGCCCAAAATTGTCCGACCGGGAATATGCCCAATCGGACATCAAGACATGGTGAATAATATTCAAATTCCAAAATTAATATAGTGTACTGAGTGTATAATTACCGTGCAACCCGATTATCGTTGATAATAGGCTGGATTGATTAGGTAATTAAGTGATCGACTATTTATCGTGTTATATCGTCTTACATACCTACCTTGATTAACTACTATTCTGCCTTGATTGGCTGAACTAATTCTTTATCGGACAATTCATCAAATCAATCCTGAACAGAAGTCATTGCTTCTCTTTTGTTGGACGATATATCAATCCAATAAGAGTGATTAGAAACTTAATCTGATTAACCTGTGATTTCTCCATTGACCATTGTCTCACGTTTTAATCTCCTTTGTGTCGGACAATAACACGTAGAAATTAGTCATATATGTCACATATCCTGATAGTATATAACACTTCAAATCAACATACATTGTATCCGATAACTTGTCTGTGATATATTTTCGGTGGAAGCCGAAGTTAAATAAAGATATTTCACACACATGGCGCTTATAGAGTTCAGTAATTAAAATGAAAGTACAAATCTCGCGAGACACGTGAAATTAAGAGATGTATACGTGCTGAATCCAATACGCCTGATGTTCGAGAAAAGATTCTATTTTGATAGCATATTGTCGGATTTATGACCATATTTTGAAGGGGGTTTATGTCTTTAAATAAATAAATAAACACGCTAAGAAATGTTGACGAATATTTCGATTGGAATGACGTAAGTAGTTAATTGTTTTAGACGATAGCGCATGCTACAGTCGAATGCAATTATTTAGAAGTTGGTTACACTCGCTCATTAGGGCGTCGTTAACTACGGTTTACAGCCAAATAAATTTTGGGATGTCATTTTTTTACCTTCCGTCTATAAATCGAAACGGAGTATCAGACGAATGTCGGACTTTGCTGAAAAATGTACCGACGTATGACCGTACAGGTTTTAAACATGAAATATAACGAGGTGCACCTATTTTTTTTTACATATGAATTTGAATATATTTTGTTGATACACGATTCTTAATTGTTTTGAAAACACAATTACGGTAAGAGTTATGCCCCCTTTATTTTCGTGAAAAAATGTCCGACATGAAATTTTTTGAAATCCCATCACTGGTCCGAACTTTATAAAAACCAAACAAATTCTAATTGTTTTCTGATAATTACTTAATGAGTTGTTACTCTTAATCAGATTTTAATGTATTATAAATGTTTCATTATCGAAAAAAGTAAAAATATGCGACAACTCTTGTTGACTGCCCGGACGATATAGCTGCTGTGGGCGTATGTTTCGTTGCCTGGCAACCTATCTTTAAGTGACGCGAGGCTTGAGATATTAAAGATACGCTATAAGACTATACCTTTTAATGAAGATTTTATAATTTTAAGCGAGACTAGAGATATTAAAGATACACTGTAAGACAATATCTGTTAATAAAGTTTTATAATTTCAGGCGAGGTTGGAGATATTAAAGATACAGTGTAAAAAAATACCTGTGAATGATGTAGATATAGAAACACTGGCTACAACAACACAATATTATACAGGTGCAGATTTAACTAGCTTGTGTAGAGAGGTTAGTATGATTTAACTAGCTTGTGTAGAGAGGTTAGTATGATTTAACTAGCTTGTGTATAGTGGTTAGTATGATTTAAGTAGCTTGTGTAGAGAGGTTAGTATGATTTAACTAGCTTGTGTATAGAGGTTAGTATGATTTAACTAGCTTGTGTAGAGAGGTTAGTATGATTTAACTAGCTTGTGTAAGGAGGTTAGTATGATGTAACTAGCTTGTGTAGAGAGGTTAGTATGATTTAACTAGCGTGTGTAGAGAGGTTAGTATGATTTAACTAGCTTGTGTAGAGAGGTTAGTATGATTTAACTAGCTTGTGTAGAGAGGTTATTATGATTTAACTAGCTTGTGTAGAGAGGTTAGTATGATGTAACTAGCTTGTGTAGAGAGGTTAGTATGATTTAACTAGCTTGTGTAGAGAGGTTAGTATGATTTATCTAGCTTGTGTAGAGGTTAGTAAGATTTAACTAGCTTGTGTAGAGAGTTAAGACCACTATCCTTGTCAGGCCATCCATCCTGCAGGGGAAACCGCACTGGAAAATCCTGAAGAACTTTCTCAGCAAGTTTTTAATAGATAATTTGATATATTTAAATAATCTAAAATATGTTTCAATTTATCCAAGTTATTAAATCTGTGATAATTATTTTTATTTTAGGCCGCGATGTTTGCGATGACCGAGAATCTTGAAGCGAATGAAGTAAGAGAGAGATATTTTCATGCAGCTTTATCTGTTGTTAAACCGTCGTTAAATGATGTCCTTATAGAAAAATATAAAAATATACATTTTGGTAAAACCAATCAGTCATTATTAAAGTAATATACAATTTATACTTTGGGTTTTTTATTTATTAGGATTTTTCAGTGGAGGGCCACTCTAGGGGTCAAGTGCAGGTTATAGTCATTCGTATGAAAAACCAAGGCCCTGTGTATACATTGGCGTGTACGTAAAAGATCCCTTGGCAGTTTGCCATAGTGTCGCTGCCCGGGCAAAATTTCCCTCATAGCACACTGTACGGTGTATGCCCGTCCATTTCATTTTATTTCATAGTTTGAGAATTAAATCTCTCTCCCTCTCTCTGCCATTGAAGAAGATGGTTTTAAGGAAAGAAACAACACGATTTATATAGAATACAATCACTGCTTGTTATATATATATATATAGCACAGCAATGCATGAAGACGATAAGAGAATACTTGTCAAACGTTGTGTAATAAACTGTGATCAATTTCCAATTAAATTGTGGGGGGTTGGATGGCCGAATGGTTAGCGTATATTGTATTATAGGGTTTTTCATTGAGTCAACTGGTGTGGTTTCGATTCCCCGATTGTACTTGACAAGGAGTAGGGTCACCTGTCCAACCTCGTGGGTTTTCTCCAGGTCCTCCGGTTTCCTCCCACTGCTAAAGACCCCTACCACAAGCGAATTATTGAAATAAAATTGAACCATGTGTTAGTAAAAAAAATGACCTAGTTTGTGTCAGTGGACAAGTGGACGTTAAACCCATTTATCTCTCTCTCTCTCTCTCTCTCTCTCTCTATCTCTCTCTCTTTTTGTTAAGTACTGAACAGTTCATGAAACACAGAACCAAACCATATGCTAAATCTGGAAAGATAATATTTGTTAAAGTAGACATATTATATGGGCATGTCTGGGTTTACGTCATGTAGACGAGTGGTTGTAAGGCATTTAGCTTGATTTCAGGAAAACTATCGTTTAAACACCAATTTACTGGGAGGGGAGACAGTCTCACTGTTGCAGTAAGTCACGATAAATTTTTATACTTGGCTAAGTTTCTGACATATTGGGTCATTATTCCTTCCCTGAGGACATTCTCTCAATGGTATCGAGTTATTCCACATCTTTTGATAAAGAGACGTAACAAAAGAAAAATATGTCTAAGTTTGAAATATTTCATAAAAATACAGGTGTGTCGTGTAACTTGAATCATAAGTTGAATACATATGGTAACAATTATTTCAAATGAAATGAAATGAAATGGGGTTTAACGTCCTACTGTTCTGCTCCTATACTGGGCTAATGAAGACGGGCATACCCCATACAGTGTGCTATGAGGGAAATTTTGCCCGGGCAGCGGCACTATCGCCTACTCTTATATCGAATTCCAACTGCCAAGGGATCTTTTACGTGCATTCCAATGTTTACAAGGGACCTCGGTTTTTCATCTCATCTGAAGGACTAGACAGCTGTCCTTGTCAGGCCCTCCGTACTGCATCACTGACCAGGGGAAACCACGTCGGAAAATCGGGATGAACTTTCTCGGGATGGGACGAAAAACTGAGGTCCTGTGTACAGATTGGCGTGCAGGTTACGTAAAAGATCCCTTGACAGATGGAATTTGATATAAGAGTAGGCCGTAGTGTCGCTGTCCGGGCAAAATTTCCCCTCATAGCACACTGTATGGTGTATGCCCGTCTTCATTATCCCAGTTCGGAGCAGAACAGTAGGACGTTAAACCACATTTTATTTCATTTTGTGACACGTAGTAGCTTTGCCTGCTTAACCTCATGGGTTTTCTCCAGGTCCTCTGGTTTCCCCGCACATAAGACACATAAGTGCAATCAAATTATTTAATTTAGATAACAGTGTGCTATGAGGGAAATTTTGCCTGGACAGCGACGCTACGGCCAGTGTGTAGACGGTACCTCATTTTTTTTTGTCTCATCCAGTTGACTATGCCCGGCTGTCCTTCCTATACCACTGACACGAGTAAACCACGCCAGTAAATTTAGATGAACTTTCTCGGCCAACAGTAAGATGGAACACGGGACCTCCAAGATAGCGAGCCGTGTTAATCACTGAGCCATTGTGGCTCTCCAGACATTTCAAACAGTCGCTTGTCAAACCTCGTGGGTTTTCTCTGGGTCCTCAAGTTTTCTCCCACTGCTAAAGACCCCTAAAGACCCCTACACACAATCGAATTATTGAAATAAAATTGAACCATATGTTTGTCTTGAAATGACCTAGTTTGTGTAGAGTGGAGTTCCTAAACTTGAAGAAATCTGGCTGATTTCTAGTTAGTTCTAGGACTGCATTTCTCTCTCTCTCTCTCTCTCTTGGGGGGTTGTATGGCTGAATCATAAAGTTTGTCATTGAGTCAACTGGCGTGGTTTCAATTCCCGGGTTGTACGTGACAAAGAGTAGGGTCGCCTGGCCAACCTCGTGGGTTTTCTCCAGGCCCCGTCCAGTTTCCTCCCACTGCTAAAGATCCCTACGCGCAAGCAAATTATTGAAAAAAAATTGAACCATGTTAGTCCCGAAATGACCTAGTTTGTCCATCTCTCTCTCATTTCAAACAATAAACCTATAAATAACAGATCAAGTGGATAGTGGGGGGGGGGGGGTGAATACAAATAAGCCAACATCGATCACAATATGTCTAATTTACTTTATTTTCATTCTATTATGTTTCAAATCTCTATAGAAAAAAACGTGGAAATTATCCATTAATTACATCAGGCTGACAAAACTTTGAAACAAGCACCACAAAATATTTTTTTTATTATTATTTATACAAGCCTATAAAATGCCATGCATATATGATAATAAATATCACATTATTATTAGTAAATAATATCATAGACGATATGCATGTAGGAAGCAATTCATTTTCTTCAATAAAACAAATATCATAGTTTATTACCAGGCATTACCACTTTCAACTGGCCGAATGGTTAGTGTGTGCGCGTTGTATCATCAGATCTGTCATTGAGTCAACTGGTGTGGAAATTTATTATTTACTGTCAATGGGCATGATATGCACTGGACGCGTATTTTCCGGCAAATCAATCATTGTCGTAAAATATTTGGCTGTAAATATCTAACATGCTATATACGGGTGATCGATCGGGCGAATGGTTCACCGAGCAGATTCATCGTCGCCATGAACGGACACACAGGTGATTTTTTCAAGCGATTTTAAAAAGTGCCGCAACTGTGCGATAAGAAAATACGCTCGTCTGTCCTACCTTTAACTAGTTCACAGTTATTCACGAAGATATCTTTCTAAAACTTTGTACACACATCAACCTATTAAAGTAGCTGTGCCGTTGGCTAATTAAAAATTGCTAAGTTGAACAATTGTCTGGGCATCCAGAGAAACAAGTTTAAATTGTCCAAAGGCATTTGATGTCTTTTTGAAAGTGATAATGCCTCTCCAATCAAAACAACCATGGTCTCCTGTAAATGTCATTTTAAAAATTCTCTCAGACCATGTCCACAGATAATTTTCATACATCAACCATATTATGAGTATGATCATTCAAATATACAACCCCATTAACAAAGAATTCAATTCAAGTCATCAAAAAAATCTGTGGTCTATATACATCCTAAAAACAACATCAGAGGCATTATTAAATGTTTATGAATATATAAGACCCTATATTTTAATTTTGAAATTGGGTGTTTTACATTAAATAATCTAAGAGGACTACCATAGCTTTTGTTACCCACCCTGAGTTCACAAAGCATTCTTAGACTTAAGTTAAGAATTTACTCAAAATTGTTCGTCATATTTGAACTAAAATATAGCCCTTTATAAAACTTTGTTTTAATGCATCAAATACATCAATAAGAAACTATGTGTAAAGTTTTGAGTTTCTGGATCAAAGATATTGCTCATAAACAGTAATTGAAAGTTGAGTAAATTCTTAACTTAAGTCGGAGAATGCTTTGTGAAGGGCCTGGTTGTCCAAATTTTTAGCACAACCTAATTAAACAGGCTAAATATTTCAGGCCTTTCTTTGGGCCTTAAATATTCTATAAATTATTAATTAGGCATTTATTAACTTGCCAAGATCATAATCAACTCAGTACGTTTGTTACAACCAATTCACACATCTTGTCAAACTACAACTATTGATAACTTTGCTCTAAATAAAGTAGTTTGAATGAAATTTTCAATATATTAATTTAACATTATCTATTTTTGAAATAATATAGAGAAAACGGCCATCTCTTTATCTAAATCTTGCATAATGTCCCTTTAACATGACACCGTTTGCTATTTATATAAGTGATTTGAATGATCTAATTTAGATGCTACACAAAATAGCTAAGACGAGCGCTAAGACGAGCACTCGGCAAACCTCAGCAGATTCCAGTACCCTACATTTAGCCTTGGCTGTATGACGAAGTCCGCCATTGGAACTACTTTTAAGTTCCCAGATTACCAACGGCATTGCCCATGACGACGCCTTTGAAGAATGTTTTATCATACAGATATTTCAAAATCTGAAGCTGTTTTTCTTTCAAGTTTATCCGATTTTCTTCAAACAAGGACAATTTTGCACTGAAAATTCTATACACCATCGAACGACGCAACTTTGATATCTTCTTTTTAAAAGTGGCAAGTGTTCTTAATAAGTAAACCGGTGCCGCATCGCAATTGTATAGGCATAGGTACACATCACTTTACGTCATACAGCCGAGGCTAGATGTAGAGTAACGAAATCTGCCGAAGTTTGCCGTGTGCCAAGACGAGTTGAGGCCTTGATAAATATTAACCTAGCGTTATAATTCTGGTAATATTTTGATGACAACGTTTTGAGATGTTTACGGACAGTAAATCAAGTTTCCATGGCAATAAATAGTTTGGAAATGTTTCTTCTTTTATACTAATTCTAGTGAAAAAATTTGAGATACCATAATATCATTCATAGATTATAACAATTATAGTGAAAAAAAACCCGAACAGTGAGCACAACTGGTAACCTGGCAACGAACTGGTAACCTGGCAACGAACTGGCAAACCAAGAAAATGTATAAAATACAAGAAAAATATGTCAAGACATGATTTGTAAAATATTTCATATCAATAAAATAACTGAACACGATAATCAAAACATTGATACTGACGGCAACTGACACTAAGTCTCTGATCATTTCGCGAAAAATATCAATTATTTCATAGTTTAATCCAAGCGGGGGAAAATGTATTCAAATTGATTATTTAACATTTAATTAAGAAACAATCTAATTAAAACAGATCCTATTTCGTTTCGTTTTTAATAGTTCAAAATTTCGGTTTTACTTGTCTGTACTACACTAGGATTTGGAAGAGTTGTTATATAACCTGCGTTCTGGATGGTGTGAAGGATTAACCAATGAAACCGTCTGTTACGACGACTTCTGGAGTACCATGCATGCAACTGTGGGTATACCACTAGAAACGTCAAAGCTGATTGATCAATCAATGTCTGATGTCATAGGGTCAAAAATCGAACGTACGACCTCTGACACATCCTTTTAGTACTACAAATGGTCAGATCTTCAAGTAGTGTAGGCCATTGAAAGTATAAAAAAACGAAATGAAATATAGATCTGTATTTTAATCAGATTGAGCTAAAAACAGAATCATTTTATAAAGACAATAATTTCAAATTAGACATCATCATTTCTAGATATTCTAAGAAATATTATCGCAAATGAACCATTTTAAAAAAAAAGAAAAAATGATCAAGTTGAGTTTGGACAGAATTATGATAAAAGAAAAATATGTGACTAGTTTGTTATGACTGGCAATCCAGATAAGGAAGTCATTGTTTTAAATAATGCTTAAAGTAAAGAAATATTTGACTCACTGGCCCATTGTATGGTCTTGTGGCAGAACTATCACTGTAACGCGGATATCATTTAATTTTGTGTATTTATTAACCTTAATTTCTTTCAAATTCATTAAATATCAAGGGTAGTCAGTAAATGATATGGACCATGTGTTGAACCAAGATGATTGACACCACTGTGGACCATGTGTTGAACCAAGATGGCTACCACCACTGTGGACCTTGTGTTGAACCAAGATGATTGACACCACTGTGGACCATGTGTTGAACCAAGATGGCTACCACCACTGTGGACCATGTTTTGAACCAAGATGGCTGCCACTGTGGACCATGTGTTGAACCAAGATGGCTGCCACTGTGGACCATGTGTTGAACCAAGATGGTTGACACCACTGTGGACCATGTGTTGAACCAAGATGGTTGACAATAGACTAGCTAAAGAATAAATACATATAGTCATGATATATAAACATCATATGCAACTGTGCCATAAATATGTCATATCATACATATATATTAGGTAAAATATCAATAAAACTGGGAGAGAACCTTTAATTTGATTATGCTGTTGTTAATATATATACATATGATGTAATGATATATATATATATATATATGATATAATATGACAATGATATAATATATAATATAGTACAGTTTATTCATTTAAAAACATGCATCCAGATGATCACCTCGGAAACCTATCTTCTTTTTTTTTACCCTTTTTTAATCTTAGTTTGTATCCCAAATATACTCGTTGATCATATTGCCGACGGTAATATGATACAAATGGCGAACTGTTTTTATATGAAAATAGAGCTGGCAGCATATTTGAATAGACCACAGACTATAAGCTTTCCAAAAATGCAATTCTTTTTAAATATGTTGTATCATCGGGTGTTTGCCTCATCACAGCAACAAGAAGGCATATGGCTTATGCTTTTGCGCCCGCAGTACAAAATGAAGATGTACGATAAGTGCCTGGTTTTGTGGGAACGGGTCACATTTGTTTTGGATAAAACTGATGTAAATTTATGATGAATATCATATTATTTAAGTGGCCTCGATACAGAAGACTTAAAGAGACATTATGCAAGAGGTAAATTTGCCTCTTGCAGGTCTTTCTTTAGGCCTGAAATGTTATATAAACTATTAATTAGACATTTATTAACTCATCCAGGCTATAATCAACTCTCGATGCCATCGGATGGCTGTGATTAAGTAGATTTAAATACATTTTATGATCGATGCAGTTACCTAAAATGGATAATGAAGACTTTGTTTATTATCGTAACAACGGTAACAATGAAAATCAAGGATAGACTATAATTATATTGCCGATATCTGGGCTCAGAGTGAAGTAATTTGACTGAAATTTATAGCATAATCTCTTTGCATTATCTATTTTTTAACTATTATAGCGAGAACTGTCAGCTCTTTATGTAATCTTACCTAACGTCGCTTTAATCAAAGAAAACAGGTTTCCAAGAATACCTGTACTAATATACGCAGGTGTGTGTGTATATATATATATATATATATTCAATTGATGACAATGAAGATGATTATAAACGTTTAATCACATAATGTATTAATTAATTAAGGTAATTATGTATAAAATGAACCTAATTAGCTATAAAATTGTTTAAATGGCAAATTACAGATACAAGTAGGACCTACATCTTGAACAGGTGTGAACAGATACAGGTACGATGTATCTTGAACAGGTGTGAACAGATACAGGTACGATGTATCTTGAACAGGTGTGAACAGATACAGGTACCATGTATCTTGAACAGGTGTGAACAGATACAGGTACGATGTATCTTGAACAGATGTGAACAGATACAGGTACAATGTATCTTGAACAGCTGTGAACAGATACAGGTACGAATACGATGTACCTTGAACAGGTGTGAACACAACGTTGACATAGGAAGTCGTATCAAATAATATTTATAGTTTCTGAACATGAAAAAGAAAAATTCTATGTTATAATTTAAGATCGGAAAGAAATAAAGTCTCCAATCTCGACAACAAAATAGCGATTATTTTCAGATTAACCCTTTTTTTATGATCAAAAGTGCAATAACTGGGGGGGGGGGGCATGGGTGGCCAATGATCGAACGCCTGCACTTTAGATCGTAAGGTCTGTTACTGTATCAAGTGGCACACCTGTACAAGACAAGGAGTAGAGTCACCTGTCCAACCTCGTGGGTTTTCTCCGGGTCCTCCGGTTTCCTCCCACTGCTAAAGACCACTACGCGCAAGCGAATTATTGAAATAAAATTGAACCATATGTTAGTCCTGAAATGACCTAGTTTGCGTTGGGTGGAGTTTAACCCCCTTTTTTTCTCTCTCTCACTCGTTTGTGTTGAGTGAATATTAAACCCCTATCTCTCTCTCCTTTACTGTGATTTGAATTGTGGTATCCAGTGTCCTCGCTGTAGCATAATTCCAGAAAAAGCTGGGAAACTTTTATATGCTTAATTAGCTACATTTTAAAAAGGATCCAGCATGAGTGATGAATGATTATGATGGCTGTCTTTACGATATTGGTGGTAGATATAACATTCAGTGAACAACAAAGACATCCAACGATCAAATTTTTTACATAATACAAATATGAAAATATATTACAATATGAAGTTAGTCAATTTATACAGGTATTGTAGCATGTGTGTGACTCCTCGTACAGTTTATAAAAATGTTGCGTCATCTTTCAAATACTTGTTTATAAATATAGCACTGAGAGAATTAACCAAACCTGCTTCGTGAAAACTTAATCCAAGATATTTTGAAGATCCAACATTTTGATTAGCTGGGATTCTCATTCTTGGCCAATGAAATCGCAGTATCTTTGGATTATATCAATTTGAGATATTTCAAAGATCAAACACTTTGATTGGCTGGGAGCTAAAAATATAATCAGCCAATGAAATCACAGAATCTTTGAAATATATTGGAATAAGTTGTCACTATCACAAACATGATTTGAAAATACATAGCGTAAGTTATATAACTCCGTTCATCACACCCAATACTGATTCTGACGTAATACTGGAGTATCCGTACGACAGTGTTGCAGTAATTCTGGATCCATTAATGTCCAATCAAAATTGAATAAATCTGCACTATTATTAGAATTAGCGCTACTCGGTGCAGGATTGAGGTTATCGTCTGTATTATTGGGTATTTCTATTAAGGGCGTTACTTTACAAGAAGGTACAGCATGGCTTACTTCCACCCGCGATATATCTGGAGAACGCGATCGTTGCGTTGGACTTTCCAAATTATGCGAGGCGTTAATGACCGGAATGTTACTACTATGAGATGGCGATATAACTAACGCTTGATCTTCATCGCTTAACGGTGTTAAACACTGCTGCGGTTCTATATGTACATGTGGTTGTTCTAATTGTAATGGTCCACTGATATACGGCCGTGGTTTCGGCTTCGATAACGCTAGTTCTTTTTCTTGTTTAATTTTACGCCTTCTCAATACGACCACGATAACGATAACAATGAACAATAATAACACTACGACCGCGATAACGATGATTATTATAATATAAGTTCCGTCACCGTCGTTATCATCGGGTGACTCTAGGCTACGTTCACGCTGGGATGGTGTCGATGTTCTGGGCGACACCGTAATCACGGGAAAGTTTGAACTTGGTTTGTTATTATTGGTTTTACCATCGACTGATTGAAGCGTTGTAGTTTCTGCTGGTTGGAGGTCTATTGTGAAACTACCTGACGCCGGCTGCACATTTTTGGCTTTCAAAGTGTACGAAAATTTGTCACTGGCGGCACTACTTTTGGCGCGTTCATCCGCTTTGTAATAAACCTTAGTATATACCACATCTTCGTGCGTGAAATAGTTCACTTGTTCGTAAATAGGCGCAACGTTTAGATCTCGCTTATTGCGACTGACTTTTACAATATGGCCGAGTTGCGGCTGTTCAGTAATATCAAATACAGGATTATCGCCTGTAATTGCCGCAAGCCGACTTGCATCCAAGTTGTATTTTGTAATGGCCACTTTTGAGCCAGACGGCGCGTTTAGCGGCCCTTGTTTTACCAGGGGTTTCACAGTAATATCGAAACGCTGACCAGACACAAACAGGTCGACCCCCTCGACATACACATCGCAAACAAAGTGATCCGCACCCACTGAGAGATCCGATTGGATGTACAGCATTAAACTCTTGTCAACATCTGACTGACTGAAATATTGAGCGAGCGATTCCTGATAATAGATCCGACCAAATGCTGGTTCTTTCGTCACATTATACCACACTTTATCTCTTTTTCCATTGGTTGTTATATTTAATGACTTTGGTGAGATATAGACCGAAGATTCTGATTGGACGAGTTCGATGGGTTCATGAGAGTTCACGTCAATGGTTATTGGAAGGACGTAGATGTTGAACGTTTTATAGTACGGGTTATGAACGCCGTCAGAAACGCGGAAGAAGAACGAATCGGGTCCTTTTGATCCGTCGTTGATATACAAAAGTTTATGATCATCGATATCTTGTTGTGTTACCATGGTTACCGACTTTCCTGTATCCACGCCAACAACCAGACGACCATGTTTCGGCGGTGTTCTTATTTCGTAGACTAGATCTTTAGGACCGGTATCTTTATCGGTGGTTTTCAACTGTTGATTGGTAATATTCATCGCCTGACCTTGAATGACTTGGATCGAAGGCGTCTTGGTCAACAGTTCAAATGTTTGATCATTAACGGGACTAATGCCGATGGTAAAATTGGTTTCAAAAACGTAACTATCGATACCGTTGTTCGTTAAAGCACTGTCGGGTGGATGGATCTGTACAGCAATGGTAAAGCGGTCTTCACTCGTATCTGTGTCGTCGTGGAAATATTTAACGATACCTTTATTGATCTCGGCTTGTGTGAACGTGTCCTTGTTGGACATTCTCTGTCTTGCTCGTTCCAGATGCCCGTTCGTCGGTTGATCTATCAACATGAAATCCACGGCAACACGAGAACCAAACTGATACAGACGGCGCTCTAGTTGACTTACATCCAAGTTGTCCTGGGAAATCGTGATTTCACTTCCTTCTCTCACAAGTGGAATAGAAGTACGTAGAAATAGGTCGCTGTTTCCCCTATTCACATTACCGTACGATATTTGAATTTCCATTAACTCTTCCTTCAGTGGTTCCGCGTAAACGGTAGAAACTTCGAATAGAAAAGAATCCGTTTCTGACCAATGGTGGATGTTTCCTGCGTGTTGATAATAAATTTCAGAATTTTCAACCTCTTTTTGAGTAAATGACGCAACTTCTAAAGGAATACCATTTTCGACGGTAACGATCTTGCCTCGTTTAGGACGCGTTTCAAGGGTGTATGTGATAGGTTTTGTGACGTTGTCTGCGTTTGTTGAATACAATAAGACGTCTTGTGTGATTGGCTGTAATGTAGCAGGAAATGCTTGTAGCGGTTGGTTGACCACTAATGTCAGGGTTAACGGTCGTGCCTCAATGATGAAGACTTGAAGTCTGCCGTTGTTGATACCATCCGTTACTTGTATGTTAAACTCTCCAGAATTACCACCTGAAATGATACAAGATAAAAAAAAATCAAATTTATTGGACAAAGGGCAAGAAATAAAAAAAAATGGTATTTACACCATATCAATTAAAACACCATTATAATTGTGTGTCCTATGTCATGGGGAGAAAAATTAATAATTTAAGGGCGTTGAGTAGTCTAAGAAACACACTAACTTTTTAACACCAATCTTATTAAGACTTTGCGCACTTGTTCCATGTGTAAAATAACTACAGAGGACACATAACAGTCTGACCGTTTGTTGTGTAATAATGGAGGTAGAAACGAAAAGAAAAAATATGTGTGAATTATGACCTTGTACACACCGTTCACGTCATTTGATGTAAACAATCACGGCCATGTCCAGCAGTAGTTTCACACTGGATCATTCATGTCTACGTCTATCTAGATATGACTTCGTAAGGAATTCGATCAAAGACGCGATTATCCCGGTCTACCATCAATCGCGATTGGAATGTGGCTGAATTTCATTTTTTGATGGTCGAAGACTGCTATTTTTGACTGTATAAAATGATTTTTAGAGCGGACCAGTAGTGCACTGAAGTCGATATTTACTTTTTACGTCTGAATTGTTGTATTTTAAAACTTGTTGTAGACATGTTCAAAGAATTAACCCAAAATCACAAAATCCCATTTGAAGATACATGAAGGACAATTTTAAAATACTTTCAGTTGATTTTTTCCAATGTTTTTGGTGTCGAAATGTAGCAAATAACCTCTACTTTCCATCTACTGGTGTGATTATCACTATCTCTTTTTAGCATGGATACCCGACAAACCACAGCCTATAGTCAAAAATTGACCAATGGCTTTTTTGGTCTTGCTATTAGCATTGTTCATTCCAAATTTAAAGAAAGTCCATGCAGGCATAACTGAGAAAATTTGACTGTTATTATCATCAGCACCCTTTATTATCATGCTTTTGGGCCAAGTTTGGAACTTGGTAAATAAAATAGGTATTTTTTTGGTGATTAATATGTAGTTTACCACCCAAAATAACAAAAAATGTCATATCTTATCAACAAAAATTACAGTGCTATCTTTAAAATGTGCATTTTACACTGGTTTTTCTCAAAATCTTCTAGTTCCACCATTCTCAGGTTTTGAAATACTGAACCAACTGATCTAATGAAGACTTGTACGTGCCACACAGTGTGCTATGAGGAAAATTTTACCTGGACAGCAGCATTTTAAGAAATTTAACTTTCACAATATTCTTACAATTAGTAACAGGGAACCTATAACGACAGAGTTGATCGGTTCCTCAATTTAGAGACCCGGCCATCTTACCGCGCCAATATACGCAATATATATGGCAATTCCAAAACTTAGTGAAGACAACTAGGTATTTCTATCACGTCATGATAATATAACCCGACAGCACAATTGCCAAATAGCAGTTGAATACTAAGTTTACTTGTAGGCTAAGTTTGCATGTCTGGATGAGTTCCAAATTATGCTATCTAATACTAGAAAAGCTTAGTACGTATATCACAAAAACTAGGGCATTTCGGGACTAACATATGGTTCAATTATATTTCAATAATTCATTTGTGCGTAGGGATTTTTAGCAGTGGGAGGAAACCGGAGGACCTGAAGAAAACCTACGAGGTTGGACAGGCGACCATACTCCTTGTCAGGAACAACCGGGGAATCAAAACCACGCCAGTTGACTCAATGACATACATGTACCTTTTGATACAAGTTACAACGTGCATGTGTTAACCATTCAGCGTTCTAGCTATACATGTACCTTCGTGTATAAATACTACCCCTTCATTATTGAAATAAAATTGAACCATATGCTAGTCCCGAAATGACCTAGTTTGTGTCAAGTGGACGTTAAACCCAATCTCCCTCTTTATACATACCTTCATGTACAAATACTACTCGTCCATTATTGATGTCTTGTTGACTAAACTGACTGATTTGATGGAAAGTGTTCTGTAAATACGCTAGATGACCATTGGTCGGGCTGGACACACGGAAAATAATCTCTTTAGGTGTCGAATCAAGATCTTCTGCTAGTAGACTGTGATTGGTCAATCTTGTAACGGAACCTTTCCATACTTCCAGAATTGAGTTGACGATAATACGGGGCGTCTGGTCATTTACTGATTCTATGTGAATTTTAACGATATGAGGAAGACTGGTTTTTAAGTTATCGCTAAGAGTGGCGGTTACCGTGAATTCGTCCTCGGTTCGCTCGCTACCGTCATGTTCGTAAAAGATCTTCTTTAATCGCAAATCCTCGGTGGTAAACTTGGATATCAGAACGCCCTTATTATCCGTGGAGTCTATGATACCTGATTGCGGTTGACGTTGAATCTCAAAGACAACATCTTTCCCCTGGAAATAGCGTCCTTTGAGTTTAAATTGTTTTGGAAGTAACGCTGATCGCTCTCCCTCCATCACACTGAGAACATCTGTATCTAACTGCAATACGTTTGGCACGATCTCAATGAAAAATTCCACGTTTCTGAGCGTCTGAAACTGGTTACTGACGTCAAACGCGAATTTATCGTTGATGATGCCACTTTTGGTATTGGTATATTTGACGTAATCGTTAATAATATCCTGTTGGGTGAAAATGGTGGCTTCATCGTCGGGCATCAGCACCCCTTTAACATAGATGGCGCCATATTGTGGTTTTGTTGTTATAGTGTACGTTATATCAGTGGGAATCGAGTCTGGATGATTGACATTTAAGTGAGACTGGGTAATAATGGCTCCACTTCCTTCGGCTACTTCCAATAATCGGTTGTGCGTTACCTGCGGAGGTCGAAGCTGACTTTCCAGATACATGATTATTGTAAAGATTCCTTGTACTTTAGCGTTATTGATGATAAATGCGAATTTAAATCTATCTTCCTGATTGGTGCTTCCGTCGTGCCAGAATTTAACGTTGCCCTTCAGCAAATCATCGTAGGTGAATTCTGCTACTTGTTTGCCTTTAATACGCAAATGACCATATAAGGGTTCTTCTATTAGCAGAACGTTTATCTGGTTTGGCCGAGCGTTAACATTCGTCTCCATACTCAAGTTGGAATTGGTGATCGGACTGTAACTTCCCTTTTTCACAGTAATTCCAGTGTTATTTCCTATCTTGATAAATGGAGCAGACGCCTGAACTTCGAATAAACTGGTTGTGTAAAACTGCCCGTCTGTTACCCATAGCGCGGCACGTCCATAATCGTCCCCTTGATGTTGAAACAAGAGTTTCTGGTCGATGATGTCTTGATGTGTGAACTGATAGACAGGACTTCCAGTCTTTGCGTCTACTATTTCTCCGTTGGGTATTCCACGTCTCGTGTACTGCAGATCTGCGGAATCGTAATTTATATCCGGATCATGGAACGAGACGTCATTGACGGTGATCTTTTTATTTTTATTTTTGACAACATGGAAGACTTTATCAACGTCTCGAACAGGGGGATTATCATTTCTCATCATCATTTCTACATCAAGTCTACCAGAGATTTCCTGAATTTCTTCTGGTGCTTCGTCTTCTTCCGTTAACAATGGAAGCGCGATGAAAGTAAAGCTATCTTGATCATGCTCCGAATCGTCGTGTTTGTACTGGAGTTTGCCCTCTCGTATGTCCTTACTGGTAAACTCTGTGACATTTTTCTCCAATACTGCGTTTGTTCTCGGATCTTGTAAAGTGACTAATCCGAACTCAGGCTTGGATATCAACGTAAACTTAATTTCCTTCACTCCGTCCATTTCTAAATACAAATCTTCTCTTCCGATTACCTTCGATCCACCCTCGATGACATTTTTTAAACCATTGTTCGTAAATCGAATGGATGTCTGCTCTGGTAGATATTTGAAGGACAGACGTACATCCAAAGGCTTGGCGTTCTCGAAAGTGACTTTAAGATCGACAAAATCCTCTACGCGTTTAAACGAAGGTCGACTGAGTTTATAAAAGATTTTTCCATCATTGAGATCTTCCTGCGTAAATTTCCACGACGAGGTCAAAGGTGAAAGTCTATCAAAAATTCTCTCGTTTACTTTTTTGGGATCTGTTTCGATTTTGTAAAGTTGACCTTGGGATGGAGGTCGCACCATTTTAAAATGTATTTTATCGGGTGGTACGGAAGCTGAATTTGCTTTAACTGACAGACTCCTGGAAGAAATCTGCAAAAAAACGACGTCATTCAGCACCAGCGGCACATTCTTCTCCGTCTGCAGAGACACTTTTTGAAAGGAAATTTGGAAGGTATTTTCAATTGTCGAAGACTCTCTTGCATTCACAACGAACTTAAATTCATCGACATCAGTTGCCTTGGCGTTGATATCATTCACGTAACGGAGTCTCTCTTTATCGATATGTCTCTGGGAAAAAGTTTCAACATTTATCCACTTGTGATCTTCATGCTTTCTGCGTTGTATATGGCCGTATTTAGGTTTTTCAAGGATACGATATCGGAGTTCTATGTTTTGTCCACGAACATTGGTAGCAGACGTGAGGTTATCCGGTAGAATAAGAGAGCTGGTGCCTAAAGCCACAATTATTCCGTTATTAATGGGTATCGATATGTCGATGTCGACTGCTCGCAATCGTAATTCTAACACGCTGCTCTCCGTGGTGCCATCGCTGACCTTGAGACGAATCGCTGCTAGATTTTCTTGTTCGTGAATATACCACATTAAACCAGAATCGACATCGGCTTGTGTAAATTCTGTCACTTCCGTTTTCGTTTCGTTCTCTTTGACAAAATGGCCGTTTTCAGTATTGATGTATGTGATCGTGTGAATGATGTCAGCAGGTAGCGTATCCGGGTCATCTACCGACAAAATATCATCACTAATTAAAGTCTTTGTGTGTTTCATGACTTGAATAGTTGTTCCAGACGGCAACACTAATTTCGGTGGATCATTCCGCGGAGCAATCTTGATGGGAACAACGAATCCAAAATTTCCAAGGTAACGTTTAGGAATGCTGGAATCTGTAGCGGTCACTTTCATTTCTAACGTGACGTCATCCGTACGAGTGTCCGAGCCGTCGTGAACGTACGACACCTTGCCTCCTATTAAATCTAGTAACGTGAAAATGTCTTCGTTTCTACGTCTGCGTATGTTGATATCTATACTACCATATCGCGGAGGTATCTTGATCGTAAATTGAATGGCCGATTCACGGATTCTGTACGCCATATAGTCAAAAATTACATCGACCACATTAGTCGTAAAATACGCCAAACCGCCCTCCTGAACTTTCAGTTGTTCGATCGCCAGAACGTCGGCCGAGTTGCGTTCACCCACTTCCCCCATAGTTGTCACGGTAGATTTTGTGCACACATTCTGATCACATACACAGCGATATTCGTTATTTTCTAATTCACTACATTTGGCGTCTGCAATACAAGGATCGCTGGCACACGGATATTCATAGCTACACTTTGGATCGACCAGACGACTAACGACCACTTCTCGGAATCCGTACGTTCGACTATTGATCACAACGTTTCGTATACATCCCTTCGTGGAACTACGCATACCTCTTTCATATTTCAAGGATTCCAGTCCACGTCTGATAGCGTTAGCTTTGTCCTTGACACTAATACCCCCCACGTATAAATGTCCCGCAAGATTATGATATTTATTGTCTTTTGAATAAAAACGAGTTACGTTTCTTGTCCCGTCAACACGAAGTTCTAACATACTGGGAGAGATGACAACATCAATTTGATGCCAGCGTCCATTATTGACTTTATTGTCCGAGTAAACGTCGATGACGCCACTGCCTTTATTGGCCGTTAATTTTAATTTACCGTTAATCAACTCTAGTCCAATGTAATCTAATCCTGTAGTTCGGCGACCAGCGTTAAAAAATATCACAGAAGTTTTTGATCTTGTTTTTAAATCACAGGAAAAGGTTCCTTTTTCTCGTATGTGTAAAGGCGGGAAGGCAAGAAAAGACGAGTCGGACATAAATGTGATTGGCTGATCGGAACCGGCATCGAATTCCGTATCACAATCCCACGACACTTCATATGTATTCACCGGATTTTTCATGTTCCTTGCCGTGCCCAAAATGTCATATTTATTAAAGAATGTGTCCTTGAGGCAACCACGGAAATATTTAAAATTGCCATCGTACACGTCTGTGAACGTCCCGATGCCACCGAGAAATATTCCATGTTTGATGTTTAATTCTGAGAATTTCCCCGGAATGGCGGTGGAACTCGTGACGATCTCATCGACAGTTAGAACCAGCTCCTCCTTTGATCTGTTGACGCTGATATGGTGCCATTGGGAATCGTCCAATCGTAAGCTGGGCGGAGAATTAAGAATGGCGGCTCCGGATCCCAGATCGACCTGGACTTTGATGATGCCAGAGCTGAGTTCCAAGGAGAAGTAATCCGTGTTTCCTGCAGCCAGTAGAAGTAAACCGTGAGGTCTGTGAGTCTTGAAATCCAAGTCTACCTGGTTGGTGCCTGCTGATAGTTGAAATGGCACTCGTACATAGCTCTCGCCATAGAAGGAAGCTGAAAATAGAAAAAAAAAAAGAATATTTTAATGTTATGAAATAAACAGAAATGAAATTAAAGCCTAATTCAAAACCTGTGGTACATTCTACCATGGGCCTGGAGGTCACATAATTGATCCCTGCATTTGGCAAGAAAGTTTATCAGTATTTTCCGACATGGTTTCCCCTTGTCAGCGGTGCAGGATGGATCCCAGCAATGGCAGAGAAAGTTCATCAGGATTTTCCAGTATAATCCTTCGATGGAACAAAAAACACAAGGTCCTGTGTACAGATTGGTGTGCACGTAAAAGAACCCTCTACAGTTGGAATTCAAAAATAAAGTAGGCCGTAGCACCAATGTCCGAGCAAAATTTCCCTCAAAGCACACTGTATGGTGTATGTCCGTCTTCATTAGCCCAGTCGGAGCAGAACAGTAGGACGTTAAACCCCATTTCATTTCATTTCTCACTGCCAGTCCTGATTAGCAAATATAATTGAAATGAAAATCTTGTGACACAATATTCATTAAGGTGCCTAAGGGCGTGTTGTAGGTCCCCTTATTTGATCATAAATCTGTAGAAAATTAGTATGTTAAACCCCATTTCATTAATCACAAATCCCTAGGGATCTAAATGTATGTATAAAGTCTTTGTTTTTAAATGTTGATAGATGACTCTGATGATATTACATGGGTGACTTATGATGTATGTCTCGTTATTTATTAGTCATGTCACTATCACGCCACTACACGATACAGTGTCTATACAGGTGACAATTCTATGGAAAACAATTACTGCTTGGGGGGGTTGGATGGCTGAATGGTTAGCACGTGCGTGCTGTACCATAAAGTCTGCCATTGAGTCAACTGGCGTGGTTTCGAATCCCCGGTTGTACGTGGCAAGGAGTAGGGTCGCCTGTCCAACCTAGTGGGTTTTCTCCGGGTCCTCCGGTTTCCCCCCACTGCTAAAGACCCCTACACGCAAGCGAATTATGGAAATAAAATTAAACCATATGTTAGTCCCGAAATGACCTAGTTTGTGTCAAGTGGACGTTAAACCCCATTTCTCTCTCTCTCTCTCCCACAATTACTGCTTATTACTGAATGACATTTCCACTAGGCTTCTCTAGTCATTATCAAGCAATGGCAATTAGTAATTGAACTGGAATATACAGGTGATAATTCTATGGAGTACAATTACTGCTTATTACTGAACGACATTTCGACTAGGCTTCTCTAGTCATATGTATACATGTATATGCATATATCAACATTTTTTGTTACGATACAATTCAAATCCCATCTTTTTAGGGTGTTGTCATTATTAAAACCTGATCAGATCATTGTAAATACATGTACTCCACAACAAGCTATTCATTAATCATTTGTGTTTTTTTCAGATAAAGTGGTTGTTGATAACATTTTATCAAATTCCATCTTCTTTGATCGTTTGTATTACCAAAACCTAATAAATCATTGTATATACTCCATAACAAGTTAGCCATTAATCAATTTGTGTTAATTTTCAGGAAAATTGGTCTTATTGAATGTTATTAGCAATAAACTTTATAATCCTCAATTAAATTAGATTCCCTTTAGGTACACAAAATTAAGGGGTATCTCTCGTTGATCAGCATTAACTAAGTATTGTTGTGTACATGTATATATTGTCTTGTTATATTTTCACATCTTGATAATGACTAGAGAAGCCTAGTGCAAATGTCGCTCAGTAATAAGCAGTAATTACATGTATATTCCATAGAATTGTGACGTCTATATTCCAGTTTAATTACTAAATGTTATTGAAACAATTTACACGATACCTATCTTCTCTAACGTTATATAAACTTGATCTGATCCTATTTCGTTTCGATTTTTATAGTTCAAAATTTTGTTTTACTTGTCTTTACTATACTAGGATCTGGAAGACGTGAGGGATTAGCCTATGGAACAGTCTGTTACTGTGAGTTTTTGACGTTAGGTGCACGGAACTGTGGGTAAGCCACTAGAAACATCAACGGTGATTGGTTAATCAAATTTCTGATGTCATACATGTAGGTCAAAAGCTGCTTGTATGACCTCTGATGCGATCTTCCACTACAACTGGTCAGATCTTCATGTAGTAGAGACCATCGAAAGTATAAAAACCAGCAGCTGCCAGGCAGGATACGCCCACATTTTGCAAGAGATGTAGGGCAGAAAATTGCATGTTTACTTGTCCCTACTTCAAGCTTGTTTATCTCCAGTTTTTCATGGTGAACCCCATACATGCTTTCGGGAAAGAGGTTGCCACATATTGCTCCATCTGTGGTAGAAAGCGTTCTACCCAACGAAAATTTGGGAAAAAGTTAGAGCCGGTCTAAGAGAAGAGAATTAACATTAAAGTCAATGGGGAAATCATTAGTGATCTGTGGCCATGTATATTTACACTATGTAGTACACTCGGCAAACCTCAGCAGATTCCAGTACCCTACATCTAGCCTCGGCTGTATGACAAAGTCCGCCATTGGAAGTACTTTCAAGTTCCCGGATTACCAACGGCGTTGCCCATGACGACGACTTTGAAGAATGTTTTATAATACAAATATTTCAAAGTCTGAAACAGTTTTTCTTTCAAGTTTATCTGATTTTCTTCAAATAAGGACAACTTTGCACTGAAAATTCTACACACGCATCGGACGACGCAATTTTGATAACTTCTTTTTAAAAGCGGCAAGTTTTCCTAATAAGTAAACCGGTGCTCATCGCAATTGTATAGGTGTAGGTACATGCCACTTACCGCCATACAGCCGGGGCTAGATGTAGAGTAATGGAATCTGCCTTGGTTTGCCGAGTGTACATGTATGTAGTAAAGTAGCCAGAGTCATGTTCTGGTACACATTTGAAAGGCAATAGTTGTAGCCAGAGATATGTTCTAGTACACATTTGAAAGTCATATAATAGATTGACTTCTAGTTGTATATTTACATACATGTATATAGCCAGATGTATATATAAATCTTCTGCTACACATGCATCAAGTAAGGAGAGAAGGTATAAAGAATCTGGTCTAATTCTCTCTGGTTCAATAACTCTTTGTAAATCAAGTCTGGATGCAATTGACTATTATTATAAGCCTATTAGGAGACAAAGTTGTCTGGATTAAATAACCCCTAGTTGACCTCTCAAACATCACCTAGTCATGAAGCAACCATTTTATTGGGCTTTTACTGAAATCTGTGATTTTAGGATCTAAAGTCATTGTTTACATTTAACTCAATCAAACTCTGGTCTAGCCCTATATTCTTCATGATTAATTTTACTTACGAAACTTCTTATATCATTGCTGAAAATTCAAACAGATTTTGGAACCGTATGAAAATGTATAAAGAGAGAGAGAGAAATGGGGTTTAACGTCCACTCGACACAAACTAGGTTATTTTGGGACTAACATATGGTTTAATTTTATTTCAATAATTTGCTTGCGTGTTGGGGTCTTTAGCAGTGGGAGGAAACGGGAGAACCCGGAGAAAACTCACGAGGGTAACAGGCGACATTAGTCCTTGTGTAAAATGTATAAAAGGGTCTTTAGCAATGGGAAGAAACCACAGGACCCAGAGAAAACCCACGAGGTTGTACAGGCGACATTACTCCTTGTGCAAAATGTATAAAAACATTTATTGAATGTCCTAAGCATGTTGATATAAATACTGTGAAAGACATTAAAGTCGTCATACCTAACATTAGCAGAGGTGGATCCAGTAATTTTGGCAGGAGGGGGTTAATTGCCAGGCTCCTGTTAAGGAAATATGACAGTTGACAATGCGTGATGCCATCATCGTCCCTAAATTACATAAACATACAAACACATTGAGCTTTTTAAAGAGAGAAATCTTTAATTAATAGATTCATATTGTGATTTAATTTCATCGATGCAAAGCATTAATTGTGGTATCACGTATGTCTATATCATTATCGCGTGCTTTGAATGTCCATCCCATCCCACCACCTGGTGATAAAGGATAAAGCACACGACCGTTACACGTTTTTCATAAAGTGTTGTTTTACAATTTTTTTATACGTAGCTAAGCAGGGTGGGTTTTAGACCCACCAAAGCCCCCCTACCCCACTGTATCCAACCCTGATTACATATAATTTCTTATTTTTTTCCTAATTCAGTATATATATTTTACATTATATATATAGTCGGTGAAGTGTCAAAAGGGTTTATCTTGGGAAATTAGTCAAATACACACTTTTGCATGTTTAAAATCTCCCAATTAATAGGCACATTTCTGTCTAAGCTGTATACTGTATCTCTACGCCAATTAGAACTGTTCTGGGTATCATGTGTCCAAATGTTGTATCTTTATTGGTGGAAATTTTGAAATGGAAAAGGTTCTATTTCTTAATCTTTAGAAATTTTTAGATACAGTACTAGTCTGGCGGAAGTACTAAATTTCCGCGAGGTCCGACCTGGGTGGAAATGAAAAATTGCAGACGTCAGTTAATCAATGCGCTCTGGCCAAGCTCAAAATTCCGCTCTAAATTTCCTACGCGAATTTGAGTTAACCACCGACCTCCACGATTATTTTAAACTGCCGTCCACCGCGAATTTTAAAAAGTCGGACTTTCCATGCATGTACAGTCGGCACATCCATAGCTGGTTTGAAATGGGTTTACATGTACACCCTTTTGACACTTCACCAACGATATGTAGAACCAAGTTACGAGAGGGATATTTATAGGGGAACTGTTAGCCAATCCTTCTGTACCCCCCCCCCCTCTTCATTAGCCCAGTCGGAGCAGAACAGTCATTTCATTTCCTTCTATACTGGTTTTAATTTCAGATCATATCTCATAAACCATTCAAGATATCTTTATAAAACCTGGCACACACATCACCCTATTATAGTAAGTAGCCTTTTACTTATTACAAATTTCTTTAATTTAATCATTGCCATGGAAACAAATTTGATTTAGATTTTGGTATACAGGAGTGGCCCTCTATTGCAATAAAATTTTTAAAAAGTTTGTTTTTT